ACACATGTGGATCACCCTGTGCTGGTCGCTGGCAAGGTGTTAAAAAATAACTTGAAAATGTTCGTTGATGGAGGGGCCAGCCATAGCCTCTTCAATTTGGCGAGCGCAAAAAAATGCAAGCTGCAACTTGAGAGGTGTCTGCCCGAAATTGACGCCCGCCTCGTGGATGGGACGCCTCTGGTGATAACGGAAGAAACACGGACGGTCAGGATCGACTGCGGCGACAATTTCGGCTTCAGCATGAAGTTCCTCGCGACGACGCTGGACGGCTGCGACGTGCTGCTGGGACGTGATTGGCTGCGACGGCACAACCCCGTCATCGACTGGACAACGTGATCGTGCAGCATCAACAAGCACGAGGGGCTAATTAAGCTGCCTGGATGGACACCTGACTACATCCAAGCCCTGTGCGTCAAAGCTGTTACTATAGCTAGCCACTTCAACAAGGGCGTGCAGCTGTTCGCTGTCTGCTTACGCGAGTTGGCAGTTGACACCGACGGAAAGGACATCGAGAAGTTGTGTGCAGCTATACCGCCGGATTTAGCGGAGCTGATTCGACAGTACCCCGACATTTTCCCCGACGACCTGCCACCTGGACTGCCACCCGAGAGACCTGAGGACCACAAAATCCAGCTGGAACCTGGCGCGCAGCCGACTGTTCGGACACAGTGGCGGTTGACCCAGCCGGAACTCGACGAGCTGCGATGTCAAATTGACGCACTGTTCGAGAAAGGGTTTATTCGGGCCAGCACATCTCCCTTCGCAGCACCGATCCTGTTCACCCCGAAGAAAGATGGCGGGCTTCGCATGTGCATCGACTATCGCTCGCTGAACCGGGTCACCATCAAGTCTCGCTACCCAATCCCACGCACCGACGACCTCCTCGACCAACTTCGCGGCGCTCGTTATTTCTCGAAGATTGACTTATGTGGCGGTTACCACCAGATTCGAGTCTTCGCGGACGACTGTCACAAGACTGCATTTCGCATGCGCTACGGGAGTTACGAATTTACAGAAATGCCTTTCGGCCTCACGAACGCGCCTTCGACATTTCAACTGACCATGAACAGGGTTTTTCGGGATCTTCTAGACCGATGTGTCATCGTCTACTTGGACGATATCCTGATTTTTAGCAAGACTAGGGAGCAACACCTCCGCGATCTGGATGCAGTGTTTAAGCGGCTGCAGGAGAACCGACTCATCACCAAGGGCTCTAAGTGCGAGTTTTTTTAAGCAGGAGTTGGAGTTTTTGGGGCACGTCATCTCACGCGACGGCATTAAAATCGACCCGGCGAAAATCAAGACCATACAGGAGTGTAAGTCCCCGACGAATGTCACAGAACTCCAGAGTTTTCTCGGATTTGTGAATTACGTCGGGCGGTTTATCCCGAATATGGCGGGGATAACCGGCCCGCTGACCGACCTGCTGCACAAGGATAGAAATTTTGTGTGGGGGGAGGAGGCAGAAGCGGCTTTCCAGTAACTCAAGAATTTTCTCGTTTCCCCTCCTGTGCTGCGCATCGCCGACCCATCGAAGCCGTTCGAAGTCGTCACCGACGCCTCAGATTTCGCCATCGGAGCTGTGCTACTCCAAGATTTCGGTAACGGGTTGCAGCCGATAGCCTACGAATCACGCAAACTGCAGGCAGCCGAACGCAACTACCCGATCTACGATAAGGAGATGCTCGCCATAATACGCGCGTTCAAACTGTGGCGCTGCTACTTGGTGGGCGCCGACATCACTGTTCGCACGGACCACAAGTCCCTACAGTACCTGCGAGCCCAGCCCAACCTCAACTCGCGATAAATTCGGTGGTTGGATTACATGGAGAGCCACTTCACCTACCGCATCACGTACAAGAAAGGGGCGAATAACATCGCCGACGCCCTAACCCGACCGACAATACAATCCGCTGCAGTACTCATCACCCATTCGAACCCGTTACTTACGACTGGGAACCATCAGCAGGCCACGATGCAGAAAGGGGATTATTACCTAAAAGCCGGAACCGACCGGATTTGGGTTCCCGCTTACAGTCTGCTGCGTGAACTCCTTATCCAATAGGTCCACGATTCGAACTTCTCCGGACACTTCGGGGTTGACAAAACCCATAAATTACTGCACCGTCAATATTACTGGCCTGATTCCTCTAACGACGTGCAGCGATATGTGTCCTCATGCAGGGTGTGCCAAGCCATGAAATCGACACGTCAATGACCAGCTGGGCTGCTGCAACCCCTCGAGCCACCCGAACGACCGTGGCAGCAAGTGACAATGGATTTTGTCACGGGGATGCCAGCTAGGCCATCCGACAACGACGCCGTATTAGTCGTCGTCGATCGCTTCACGAAGATGACGCACTTTGCCCCATGCCGAACAACAATCACAGCCGAAGAAACTGCGCGCCTTTTCATCTCAACGGTCGTGCGACTGCACGGCATCCCTTCCGCGATCATCAGCGACCGAGACCCGAAGTTTACATCGAAATTCTGGAAGGAGACGTGGGCGCAGTACGGCACGAAACTACAATTCTCATCGGCATATCATCCACAGACGGACGGCCAGACCGAGCGGACCAATCAGACCATGGAGCAGCTGATCAGGACAAACTGCCCCGACCCTGCCCGCTGGGAAGAATCACTCGCCATGTTGGAGTTCGCTTTCAACAACGCCCCGTCCAGTACGACTAATCACTCCCCGTTTTTCCTAAATTACGGGATGGACCCGACAGTTCCTGCGGCAACTACCCTCGAAAACCCGGTCCCGAGGTCACAAACCTTTGTGACGGAACTTCAGGAAGTCCGAGAAAAAGCCGTCGACGCAATTCGCAAGGCGAATATAACTTCCCTCAAATACGCCGACCTTTTATGCTGGGAACTCGTCTTGACCACTGGGCAACTAGTGCTACTTGACACGAAGAATCTGCACCTGCCCAGCCCGTCGAAACTACGGCCACGATTTTGTGGGCCATTCAAGATTATCAAGATGGTGACATCTGTCACCGCGAAGCTACTGCTACCCGACGACTGGCGCATTCATGACGCCTTCCACGTCAGCCTGCTTCGAAAGTTCGTGCCAGCCACGACCGACATCGCGCGGCAACAAGCTGCCCCAACTGCACAACCTGTACCGGAGCCGACTCTTGACCCGTCGAATATTTTGGCACATCGGGTCCGCCTTGACGCAGCTGGCCGCCACGTGGATTTCCTAATTCGTTGGACAGACCGCACCAGTGAGGACGACACGTGGGTGCACTCCGACTCGCTGAACGCCTCGTCACTTGTTGGTGATTACTTGGCGCGCAGGCGTGTTTCGGATATTGACCGCCTTTCTTAAAGGGGGGGGGGGGGGGGGGGGGGGGTAGTGTAAGGATTTTTCCCGAATTCCTTATCGGGGCTGACTGATTCGCGTACAGCCCGATTTTCGGACTTTGCACGTTCGGCCGATTTCAGCGCTGCCGAGGCTCCTCGCGCCGCCTTCGGCATTTTCCCATCGCCAAACCTGCACCCAACCTCGCTCGTCCGAGGTTCCCTCCTAGCTAGGCTAGTCCCTACATTATTCTGTGCCTTCAGTGTATTCTCGGATCAGTTAATCACAGTCTCGTTATTCGTTTACCTGCGCACTCTCTTTTACAACTCAACATTCGCAGTCAACATTTTCTGTTTGGCTGTAATGCTATGCTTGAATATTGCTGTACTATTTTGTATTATGTGGTTCAATAGTGGCCGGACTACCAGTGTCGGGGAGTTGCGGAATGGTTCCATGATTGCGTGTTCTTGGAAGCTGCGCCGTGTCGACGGCGCAAGCATTCCCCCCCCCCAACCTCACTTCACGAAAATCGGACCCCCATCACCGGCGGCCACGCGCCGCCTGCGTTGTTGACGGAGAGGCGCAGTGAATGGGCTCCCTGCCTGCTGCGAGTCGGCTCAAGTCAGCGAGAGTGTGCACACCGCAGAGTCGCAGACAGGCCTTGTTGCGACTCGCCCGTGGAGGTATCCAGGTTTGCGCAAGGACGACAACGAACGCCTGGTTGACTTTGTCCAATGAGAACTCAACGCAAAACTATCGCAGGTTCAAATTCACACGGACTTTCTGGGCAAGGTTTGGGGAAGCGGTCATGTGACCCAATTGGACCACCCATTTGGGAAGCGGAAATCTCTTCTCGAACACGCTCCTCAAGGGCACCCGCGGAGCACCGCTCGAGTGCCCCACTTCACTGTCCCCGATGTTGGGGGTACAGGCAGGGGGGGAGATGAGGTGAGGGGAATGTGTGTACAGGCGGAGTGCGCAACTTGCACCATTCTCAAGGCGCAACGTAGCCAGTTACAGAGCCAAGGGAATGTGTAGCCAATCTATATCCCGCGCACCGGATTCAGTGATCAAGCATGTCAGTGCAAGGACATGACACGCGAAGAAACCAAGCCCTGTGCTCGTGTCCCATCCCATCGCCCCCACACATTTTCGTCTGTCCTTGAGAGCCACCTTGGAATTGAGCTTCCCAAGAGAACCACCGCTCACCTTGGTGTGTGTCCCGTCACGTGTTGAGCACTGACTGAACTCACAACTCACAATTCATCATGCAGAGGCTTGTAGTTTAGAAGTTACTTGTTCGCAGCTGGCGATTTACAATTTACTAACTTAGCTCGTCCATTTGCTGGGAAAATATGGTAGACGTTTCATCCGAGGAGTTGTGAGCAAGAGCTGTAATTTGCGAACCTGTTCTTCTCGTAGAGTTGTCACGTGCGACCCGATGTCAGAAGGGCGTGAGAAAGTATACACCATGAGCTCCACCTGCGTCCCGGGAGTAGGGCCTCATCGGCCCGCCCTGTCGGAAGCAGCAAACGCACGCGCAGTCCGTAGATCGCTGACGTGGCAAAACGTGTTAGCGAACGCGTCAATACTCTTGCTGCTTCTGAGTGTTCCCTTAACCGTGAGCGCCGCCGACTGGGCGACGATTGGAAAGAAGCTGGATCCAACGGGTCAGATCCTGGCGTCCTGGATGAACGGTGGTAATCCTTGCGCCGACCCTCCTTTTCTAGTAAGACGAAACGCCTGAAACGGAATGATGGATGACGATCTACAGCGTAGAGGCTCGCAACCAGGACCACACACACGCTGTCTGTACCCTTCCGTTCTTCTGACAGCAGTTTCTGCTTAGAGCCTGCTGAATCTAAGCTACTCCCTTCACACTAGTACTCCTTCCTCCCACTCGTCCTTCCCCCGGTTTCTTTCTCCGCAGGGCGTGCAGTGCGATTCAGAGGGCCGCGTGCAGTCCATCTCGCTGGTCAATCGCGACCTCGTCGGCAGCGTGCCGGACGAGCTGTCGCAGGTGAACGAGCTGATCAGCCTGAACCTGGACCAGAATAAGCTGACGGGCGTTATCCCCAACACGCTCAACAACCTCGTGCACCTGCAATCCGCGTCGATATGCTGCAACCTACTCAGTGGGCAGATCCCGGACTTGAGTCCTATGACCGCTCTCAATTTGCTACATCTGGATGGAAACTTTTTGCAGGACGCCATTCCTGAATCTCTTGCCAATCTGCTTCAGGTAATAAGCTTCTTGTTTTGATTTTTATATGGTCTTGACTCATCTGTGACCATCACCTCGTCTCCGTTCTTTCACACCCCGTCTGGACTTCCGTTTTTCGTCCACTCTCCGTGCTTCTGAATGACCAACTGCCTATGCTTTTCACCACGTATTACCCGCTTTTGCATAATTCGTCCATCGCTCCTCATCACTCCACTTCTCTTACCCTTCCGCCTTCCGTCGTTCGCGTCGTATGACTCTCGGTGTGCCGATTTCCCAGCTGAAGGACCTCCAGCTGAACAACAACCATCTGTCGGGTACAGTGCCGTCCGTGCTCGGCAATCTCCAGGCGCTCACCGTTCTGCGCCTCGACCACAACTACCTCAGCGGCACGCTGCCTTCCTCGCTGACGTGGCTCGCCACCACCCCCAACGCCGTCTTCAACTTCACCGAGAATCTCTCCGACTTGTGCGGGCCCGCAGGGCTCGGCGTTCCGGTAAGCGCTGAACGGCACGGGATGACGCTGGGTGTGATAAGGGGTGTTACGGCGAACACGTAATACCGACGTGTACGGTTTGACATATCTTCTTCTGACACGCGTTTCTGCAAGCTGTTGGAATCAAGTCTCACCGCTGTCGTATTAAAACCCTGTTACCGTTCTGCCAAGAAGCCCTTGTGCCATCGTTTCTCCCCCTCGCTTTCTTCCCTTCCCTTCCCTTCCCCCCAACACCAGCTTTGCCCCGACGATCCCAACTACGTTCCCCCCGGCGCACCGGCGCCACCTCCATCTGCGCCTCCGTCCGTGTCACCGCCATCCAGCCCCTCTCCGTCCCCCGTCCCCCCCGCCCCCCCCGCCCCGTCCGGCGGAGACGCGCCCCCGTCTAATTCGCCTCCCGCACCTACCCCCGACTCTTCCGGATCGTCAAATTTATCTCCATCTGATTCCACGAGCGGTGGTGGCAACAGCAGCAGCAGCGGCAGCAGCAGTAGCGGCGGCGGCGGAGTTAGCGTAGCGGTTATCGCGGGCGTGGCCGGGGGCGTTGCGGCTCTTGCGGTGATGGGGTTGTTAGCGTGCTATTGTCTGCGCGCTCGGAAGCGGAAGACTGTGGTGAACGCCGCCGCGGGCGGGGCGGCGGGCGGGACGGGAGAGGCGGCGGAGATGATGGAAAAAGGGCAGGTCGCCGCGATTGCTCCTGGCAAGGCAAGTATATGGTGTAAAGGGTTCTGCCGGCTGCTTGATGCGGGGAGTCGATGCAAACGGGAGAAGTGAGGCATGAGGAGTGAGCGGTAAATGGATGAAATACGGCCGGGAGGTGCAGGACGGAAGGGGAAAACATTGGAAGAGGGGTGTGAGGCGAGGAAACGAACGGGGTTTTTCTTCGAATTCAGCCCTGCACACGAGCAACTTGAAACTCTTGCTTTTTCATGCGAATTTGTTTCTTGCCCTGGTGACAGGGCGGGAGCGCGGGCAAAGCGGGAGCAGCGGCGCGCATTGCGTCCATCAAGAAAGCGAGCGCAAGCGCAGAAGGCGGAGCCAGTGGTCGCAGGGGCGTGGGAGGGTCTGGTCGCGGTGGTGCAGACGCAGCACCCGGAGCGGTGGAGAGCGGTGCTGGTGTGCAAGCCAACAGCCGCCCATCGCCAATAACGATAACGGTCGAAAAGGCCGGGGCAGCAACGGGAGATGTTACAGCGCCGCTGATTTCCGCTACTGGGGGAACAACGGCTGGCGGAGGGGGGGGAGGCGCAGGAGCAACGGCGGGGGCAGTAGCAGGCGTTGCTGCCGTCGCCGCAGCTGTTGGTGTGGGCGCGGCTGTAGCAGCAAGTCAGGATAAGCGGAAGAGCAGTCCCAAGGAGACGAACAGCATCCGCGGAAGCAGCAGCGCGCGCAGCAGCACGGATGGGGAAGATGGTGGCGGAGCCAGTGCAAGTGGCAGAAACGGACGTCCCTTGCCGCCCGGGATGAGTTGGTCTAAGGGCAGCGGGAGGAAATTTGTGGATGAGAGCGACGAGGAGGATAACCTGTCCAATCAGAAATTCTTCCCGCCCCCACCGCCCCCGCCTCTTATATCCCCCCCATCCTCATCTCCACCCTCCGCCGTTAAAGCCTCCGCCGCCGCTGCTGCAGCTGCCGGTGGTGCTGGTGGGGGAAAATCGCCTTCCACTCCCCCGCAGCCCCTTCCTCCCCTGATATCCACCCCCTCCCCTGTTGCTGCCAGTTTGGAGAAGCAGTCGTCTCCTCGTCCGCCTCTTCCCCCCCCTCCGTCGTTCGGCCATAAGCAGCCTGCATCCCCTCGCCGACTCTCCGGGGATTCTCCCAAAGCTGCCGCTGACGCTTCTGCTGCAGTAGCATCTGCAACTGGGCCTGGTTCTGGGACTTCGTCTCCTGGTGCTATCATTGGCGCTGGCGCTGGAACAACGTCAAAGACAGGCGGGAATACTGCTGCTGCTGCTGCTGCTGCTGCGGCGGCAACAGCTGCAGTTGCTGCCGCAGGCGCTGCTGGTGCAGCAGCCGCCGCTTCGAGTCCAAAGGCTCGTAGCTCATCTCCCAGTCGCCCGCCGGTTGTGATCCCCCCTGTCGTCCCGCTTCCCACGCTCAAGTCTCTGAACTCTGGAAAGAATTCTCGGGGGGGTAGTGCTGCTGGTGCCTTGGGGGTTTCCGGTGCTGCTGGTGCTGCGGCAGGCGTTCAGGATGGAGACGCGGGGGATAGGAACAGGGGCAAGGAGGCAGAGAGAGGCGGGGAGAAGGGTAAGGCTGGGTCGGAGAAGCCTTCTGCTCCTGCTGCGGCGGCGGTGGGAGTGGCGTATGGCAACGCGGGGAGAGCCCTGAGAGCCGCTGATCTGGAGCTGGAGGATAAGGGCGCGGGGGGGTCGGTGGCGGGGGATGGCAGCAGCGTTGGGGGAGACGACGACGGCAGTGACACGGGCGGTGCTGCGGGCAGTGGCGCTGCTGCTGCCGCTGCTGCTGCTGGGGGTGCTGGTGCTGGGTACGCTGGGTTGGGCCGCGCTGGGGTGTCTCGAGGAAAAGCGGGATCAGGGCGAGAGCTGGGCAGTCCTGGTGGTGGGGGCGGGGGCACGTGGGCGGGGGGGTCTGACGCGGCGTCTGAGGCATCAGAGGAGAGCGGCAAGGGCGGGTGGGAGCGCGCGTTTTCGTTCTCGGAGCTGGCACTGGCGACCAACGACTTTGGGGCGCGCGGGCAGAGGAACGTGGTGGGGCAGGGGCGCAATGGGACGGTGTACAGAGCGCGACTGCCGGATGGGACCACTGTGGCTGTCAAGCGACTCAGCAATAAAAAGTACGTGCTGTTGCTCCCATGGGCCCACCCTCCGCCTCTTTTTCTCTTTGGGAGTTTTTAGGCCGTAGCTGTTGTCGCTCCTCCGTTTCCCACCATCTCCTGCTTGCCATAGGGCCCGCTTATGCTCCCACTTTACTGACTCTCTTTCCCGCCCTCCCCTCCCCCTCCCCACCTTTCGCTCCCTCTCCCCACACTCCCCATTTCCTAATCGAACCTTGTCACATGGGCACGCGCGGGCATTAGCACACGCGCACACACACCCACAAATTCAGTCACGCTCACACACACGTCACACTCACGCACGCGACCCCTCCCCCTATTTTCCCCACCCCCACCTCCCGCCCCCCCTCTCCCTTGTTCCTCCGCCCGTTGCGCGCGCCACCAGTCCGGACCAGACAGTGCGCGAGTTCCGCTTCGAGGCGGACGCGATGGCGCACGCGCGGCACCCGAACGTGGTGGCGTTGCTGGGGTGCTGCGCGGAGGGCGACGAGCGCATGCTCGTGAGCGAGTTCGTCCCCAACGGCTCCCTGGAGCTCTGGCTGCACGGCGCGGGCGCGGGCGCGGGGGGTGGCGCGGCGGGCGGGGGCGGCGCGTTTGGCGCGGGCTCCGCGGAACCCATGGAGTGGCAGCTGCGGGTGCATGTGGCGCTGGGATGCGCGCGAGGGTGAGTTGCGGTGGTGTGGGGCTCTGTGCGTGTGTGTGTGATGGTTGTTTGTTTGTGTGCTTGTGAACTGGGTCTGTATGTGTGTGCGATTGGGTGTGTGTGCTGGACTCAAACCACTTCCCACGTTGCAACCCCTTCCCTTCATCTCTCCCTGCCTCCCTCCCTTCCTGCCTCCCTCCCTTCCTGCCTCCCTCCCTGCCTCACTCTCTCCCGCCCATGCCCTCTGCTCTGGCAGTCTGGCGAATGATGCACTGGGTAGTGCACCGGGATGTGAAGGCGTCCAACGTGCTGCTGGACTCAAGCCCCTTCCCTCCCGTCCCCTCCCCTTCCCTCCCCTCCCCTCTCCCTCCCTCCCCTCCCCTCTCCCTCCCTCCCCTCTTCCCCCCTTTCTACCGTCCATACCCGCACAGTCTGGCATACCTGCATGAGGGCACGGACGTGCGGGTGGTGCACCGGGACGTGAAGGCGTCCAACGTGCTGCTGGACGCGCAGTGGAACCCCAAGCTGGGCGACTTTGCCCTCGCTAAGATCATGGCCAAGGAGCAGACGCACGCCGCCACTCGCGTCGTCGGCACGTACGGGTGAGTCGTCGCCGCCGCCTACTTCTCCACCCACTCTCGGATGGTTTTTTAGTATAAATCCCGGCTTGCGCTTGCCCCCACCATATATACCGTGGTTGGTTGCCTTCCTTCCGTGAATCTACGAGGTGCAGGAGCACGGCTGCATGCACAGGCATTAAAGCCTCCGTCCTCTCCCCTTCCTTCCTCACAACCAACCCTCCCTCCCTCCCTCCCTGCTGCAGCTACGTGGCACCAGAATACCTAAACACTGGCATTCTCACGGAGCGCAGTGACGTGTACAGCTATGGTGTGTTGCTGCTGGAGCTCGTCACAGGGCGACGCCCCATCGACAACCACCTGCCGCCCGAACAGGTAGAGGGGATGGGAAAGGGAGGGAGCGAGGGCAGGAGAGAGCAACACGGAGTTGGTTTTCTGATTCCGGAATCTGGTGGTCGTGTATGGAGGAGGGCTGTGGAATTGCCGCTGTCAGTCTCGGTAGTTCCCATTTTGCCAACGTCCAAGCTGCAAGCCTCCCTGCTGCTTGTATCTCTTCGACTTGGGAGCCCGTCCCCCCACATCCTCCTCCCAGCCATGCCTAATACTCTCCTCCCTCTTCTGATGCTGGCATTATGTGGATGGCATTGCTGTGGTTGATGGCACACAGGTGGACGTGGTGCGGTGGGTGAAGCGGCTGGCAGCAGAGGAGCGGGTGACAGAGGCGCTGGACCCGCGTATAGCGGGCACGGTGCCGGCAGACGATGTGGAGTACGTGGTGGGCATTGCGCTGCGCTGCATCGATGCCAATGCGCTGAAACGCCCGCGCATGAAGCAGATCGTGCACATGCTCGAAAGCGAAGACCCTGCGCTGGTGGGTTGGGTGAAAGGGGCCCGGGTTTTTTAAATCGTGGGACGGGGGAGGGGGCTGGGGTGCGGATGAGGGTGGATTGGATTGTGTCTGGAGGAGACTGTGTGCATGTGATTTGAATGGGTTGAGATGTGCTTGTATGATGGATGGCTTGGTGAGGAGAAGTTGGTGCATGGATTCAGTTCCGACTGACCATCTGCTGGTGCTGCTGCTGCTTCAACCCTTCCATCCCCCCCTTTGCTCGCATGCGCTGCACTGGTGACATCAGAGGGACGGCTGGGTGGCAAAGAGGCCGAGTCCGAGTCCTGCAAGTGCCAAGGCGCTCCGTGACTCCAGTCCCTCATGGTACCACCGCAACGCTGCCTCGGACTCCCCTGCCGCACCCTCCTCAGCCACTGCTGCTGCCATGGCAATTTCCCGAGCCAGCCCCCGAGGTTCCAGCCCACGGTTCGGCGGGGCAGGTCCGGGGATCCCTGCGCCTGGTTCGGCGCGCGCAGCAGGCAACAGGCACACGGACATGCTTCGCTCGGGCAGCCCGAGGAATTTTGTCGGCGGCGCCACGGGCAGCAGCCCGAAAGCAGCGGATATTGGCGGGATGATTGCATCAGCTGCGATGAAAGCGGGCGTGGTGGGTGGGAGTCCCCGAGCAGGTGGGTATATTGGGTACAGCCCCACTAGAAGCGGAGGGGCAGTTCCAGTTTCACCCCCGTCAGCCAGGAATGGCGGTGGTGGTGGCGGTGCTTCTGCAGGGGGAGGAGCAGCAAGGGTGGGTGCAAGCCCGCCGAAGGTGCCGAATTATGCACAGGGAGGAAGCCCGTCTGCTGCCCGGCTTGGTGGTGTGGGAATGGGAGGAGCTGGAGGGATGAGGGGAGGGAGTCCAGGGGGTGCTGGGTACAGAACTGGCTCCAGTCCGAATGCGCCTTTTTATGGGGTGAGTTCCGGAGGGATGTATGGGCAAGGAGGGCCTGGCAGGGGTGATGGAGGCGGTTCTGGTGAAGGCATTATTTCGAGCCATGCGATGAGCATTTCTACGACAAGGGGGTTGGGAGGCTGGAGTAGGAGGTAGGGTTAGCCTTGAAGATTGACCGGGATTATATGGGAGACGTGAGGTTCAGTTTACAGGATTGAAGTTTAATGTGGTTCATGCTTGCTTCTTGCTTTGCTAGGGACAAATAGTCCATTTCTGCTCATAGTAATGCTGTAATCGTTGGAAATACTAAGGCTTGTCTTTTGATAGGTGTTTCGGTCTTGTACATGAAATGCTTCGTTAGTATCGCAATAACATTTTCGTTTTCGAGCGCACGTGACACCAGCAGCAGACAGAGCTAGTGCTTCGATTTGCGAAAGCCAACGCACAGCTGGACCTTGGTAGCGTGAATCCAGCTCAGCAATGCTCGGGTGGAGCCCTTGTAACACATTTCGAATCAGCAATGCCGTGGATATGCCTACGGATGACGTCGACCGTCAACGTCCTGCGCGTGAAGGTATCTATCAGCTGTATCATGCTGGCACGGCGCGCTCCAGCATGTTGTGATTCTCGACTCGCCAGTCCTCCACGTCATCACGGATTTATTCCGCAATTTGCCCTTCTTCCGCCATGTGCCCCCCAGTCCATTCCATTTCTCAATAATGCCAATGTTGGCGCAAGTTCTTATTGCTCTTGCGTGCCGCATTTCTTGCATCGAATTCCAGATTGTCTACACGCTCAAGAATCAGACAAGCTAACACAGAACGCTAGTAGCTACTTGTTTTGTACCAGCTTCTACATTTTCAAGAGCAACTTTTCCAGCATTTTCGGCTATCTTCCGAAACTCGCGCTGTCGTCAACCCAAAGAAGCGCTATCTCGCAGTTTGCGGCCACCTCTGTGTCGCCTCCCACTCCTCCGCCTCCTCCCTGTCTTCTCTTAACCTCCTCTCATTTCCTCCACCACCTCCTCTCCGTCTTCCTCTCTTCGGGTCAAGCCAAACCAAGAAAGAAGCCTCACGTGTCACGAATCACGCGTCGAGAATCGAGAGAACAATGGCGCAGCCGCGCAAGTTTCTAGTGGCGGTGGACGACAGCGAGGTGTCGGCGTACGCTTTCACGTGGGCCATCACCAACCTCTTCCGCCCCGCCGACTCCGCGCTCGTGCTCACCGCCAAGAACTACGCGCCCGACATGCCGCTGCCCACCGCCGACATCGCCGCTGGGGGTGCGCGCACTTCACCCACGGGTCGTTGCCGTTTCGCTTGTTCTCTTCTGCCATTCGGTCTTCATCGGTTCTGTTTCCTGCCACTGCTAGTACCGCCACTCTGCCGCCCATCCCCCCCTTCTCCCTCTTTCCCCTCCCCCGCTTCCTTCCCCGCGCCTCATTATATTCTCTTCTCTCCTCTTCTCCTCTTCTCCCTCTCCTCTTCTCCTTTTACCTTCCCTTCTTTCTCCTTTGTTTCCCGCTCGCCGCATGTTTTCCTTCTCTCCTCATGGGCGCGGGCGCGGGCGCGGGCGCGCGGCAGGCGAGTACGCGGTGCCGCTGGTGGCGCCGGTGTCGCAGGAGGAGCAGCTGGCGGTGGAGGAGCGCGCGCGCGCGCTGGTCGACAAGTACATGCGCCAGTGCGAACAGGCTAAGGTGACGTGGACTGACTGTGGGCGTGCTGTGTGGGCGTGCTGACGTGGACTGTAACCCACAGTGACGTGGATTGCAGGGTGAATGTTGGTACATAATCTAAAGGGGTTAATAACACGAACTGTCTCGAGATTGTTTTTAAACTTTGAGGGTGCATTTTTAGTCAATACGCATAGTCTCACCCGATTACTCACTCTCCCTTTCTTCCTCTCTCCGTCTCCCCCTCTCTCCCTCTATCTCTCTTATCACATCCCAGGTGGTGAGTGAGGGCGAGGTGGTACAGGGCGACCCCGGGCCGCACATCGTGAGCGAGGCAGCGCGCGTCGCGGCGGACGCGCTCGTCCTGGGCAGCCATGGCCGCGGGATCCTCGGCAGGTGCGCGGGGGAGGGAGCGCAATGGGGAGATAGCCGTGTAGGAGCTTGGGGAAGGTGGCGGGGAGTTGCGGAGGACGGGGAAGACCACGTGGTCTTTCTTCCTTTTGGGATGGCTTGTGGTGATGACCATGTGGTGGTCAGAAATGGGAGTGGCGCATTGGCGGCAATAGAAGAAAGGGACGCTCAGCTGGTTATGTGTTTTTGAGTTAGATTCGCGGAAATATGTTTCTCATGCCGGCTCGTTTGTGTGGTGTGCGCTCATGCGGCGTGTGCGCAGGACGTTTCTGGGCAGTATCAGTGACTACGTGCGCCACCACTCCACTGGTATGCTGCCTCGCCCTTTCCTCGTCGCCCTTTCCTCGTCACTCTTTCCTCCTCGCTCTTTCCTCTTCCCTCTCCCATCGTTCTGCCCCTCCTCCCTCCTCCTTCGCCCTTCCTTCCGGTCCTTCCTCTTGCTTTCTCCTCCCCCTCTCGCCAATGCACCACTGTTTCAACCTCACGCCTCTCGCGCTCTTCCCTCCCTCCCCCGTTCCCTGTCTCCCTCTGTCTCTGCCCTCGTCGTCTCTCCCCCTCTTCCCCCCGCAGTGCCGGTGGTGATTGTGCGGCAGCCCAAGGCGGGGAAGGCGGAGCACGACGCGCTCACGAGCTCGGGCATGGCGCGTCGGATCGTAGTCGCCGTCGACGAGAGCAGCGAGGTACGGAACATGCGCGCTTGGAGGGGGAGGGGAGGGCCGGGGGGTGGGGGGAGAGGGATGGGGAGGGGGAGGAGGACGGGGAGTGGGGGAGGGCGTGCGATGATGATGATGACGATGACCAACGATACGCACAGGCAGGCGCCCTTGAATTTCCTGGCTAGTCTGCTTGTAAACCCTCTGAAACTCTTCCAAAACCCTCTACCCCGCCTCAACCCCTCTCTAAACCCGCGGTAACCCCCCGCGTGGGTGGCGACAGGCGGAGTTCGCGTTCGCGTGGGCGATGCGGCACGTGGTGCGCGACGGCGACCGCCTCACGGTGCTGCACGTGCAGAACCCCATCGCCACGCCCACCTCGCTCGGCATCGGTACGCATACCTGGGCTCGCATGGGCTCGCATGGGCGAGCTCGCGTGGGCTCGCATGGGCTGATGCAGGCTACGGCCTGGGTGCTTGCGCCTTTTTTGCTTCCCACCCGCAATTCCATGAGCAATCGCATCTTGATGCCGTGTGCTTTCCCTGCCCCGCCCTGCTCCGCACTTGGCGGAGCGGCAGCAGACCAGTTCGGCATGGAGGACGTGTACATGCCGCCTTTTAAGACGTCTTGAAAAACGCATTCTTGATGCCCTGTGTTCCCCCGCTCCGCCCCTCCGCACCTGTGCGCGCGTGCTTGCCCTCTGGGCAGCAGACCAGTTCGGCATGGAGGACGTGTACATGCCGCCCGACACGAGCAACCGCGCCAACGTGCGCGCGCTCGACGACAGCGAGAAGCTCGTCGAACGCTTCATGGCCCTCGTCGCCGCTAGCAGCAAGGTGGGACGGGGGGGGGAGAGGGGGGAAAGGGGGGATGACTTGGGGAGAAGGGGAAGAAGGGGGTAAGGGCGGGGGGGGGGGGGGGAGGGTGCAGGGAAGTGGAGGAGGGTCACAGCGAGTTGTGAACTTATGAATGTATTTTTCTTCGTCTCATACCTTCGCTTGCCATGCGTTGCCTTGCTGAACCCTGGGTGTGGTTCCGTGTGCTGTGCTGTGCTGTGCTGTGCTGTGCTGTGCTGTGCTTTGCTGTGGTGTGTGATGGGTTGGGATTGGATGCATTGGGATGGGATGTGCATGGGCGGCGTGGTGGTGGTGGTGGTGTGGCATGTGAGTGCAGGCGGAGTGCGAGGGCAGGGTGGTGATGGGCCCCACGGAGGAGCGGCTGGTGGAGGAGCTCAAGCAGCTCAATGCCGACCTGGCTATCGTTGGCACGCGCGACCACGACGTCATCTCCCGGTGCGTGCGTGCTTGCTTGCTTGCATGTGCGCATGTGTGTCTTGACGACGCTGCTTGTTTTAAGTGTCGCCGATGGTTTCAGAGATGCTGTGGAGTCGGGAAACACACTAGAAGCTGTGTGTAATGAGTCAAAAGTCATGTGAAGCACAATCAGGACAGAATAAGCATGGCAAAACGAACTGACGAGGAAAGCACGCACGCAGTAGCTTTGTATCGTGTTGCACACGTGAGTGGTGAGGCCCACTCACAACTTCCCTTCCACCTCCAACCCCCTTTCCCCATTCCTCTTCCCCTTTGGACCATTCGTGCTGTCCCAACCCCATCCCTCTCAGCACGTTCCTGGGAAGCGTCAGCGACTATCTCGCACACAACTGGTAATCACCCTCCCCCCTCTTCCATTCAATCCCGCACACCACGCCATCATACCCATAGCTCCTCTTTCCCATTTCCACTCTTCCTCCCTCGTCCACTCTCACCCCTCCCTCCCTCTACGTTCCACCCCCTCCTGCCCCATCACCAATCGTCTTCCATCCTCTCTTCCCTACCACCCCTCTCTATCCGTCCCCTGCTCAAAATCTTCCCTTCCCTGCTCCCTGCCCTCTCTGTTTCTCTCTTTCCCCCCCTGTCGCCAGCCCGTGCCCACTGGTTGTGGCCAAGATGCCCAAGCCAGCGTCTCGCCCCGGCTCCACCCAGGCCTCTCCCCGTGACTCCCACCAGCACGCCATCTGACTCCCGTGGCCCCACTTTGCTGCCGCTGCTGCCGTGGCTGTCACTGCTGCTGCTGCTACCACTGCTGTTGCTGCGAACGACTTAGGAAAATGTGGCACCCTGGTTTTTGAGGGATTTCCAAAGAGGATCGGAGCAGCTTCGTGCATGAGGGGCAGCCATGGCAGATGCCCATTTCAAAGCTCTGGTGGCAGCAGCAGCTGCGAATGCAGCCGCAGCAAGGGGTGGGGATGTGTGCGCATTTTTTTTGGAGCCTCAGAAGGAAAGGACAATACATTCCACATTGGTACTGGTACCTTTAGAATGGGTACTGTCCGCCCAAATCCATCTCAAGCCTTGGGACTTCTTACTGTCAATCCCTCTCTCTCTCCTCGCTCGCTTCCCTTCAGTTGCCCAAGGCCCCGAGCTCAGCTTTCAGCACTCTCCCTGTTCTCTTAGCCCTCATGGTGTGCTTCTTTTGCCACTCCCCTATTACTGCCCCTCGTTTGACTTGCTACCACTGCCTTGGCATCACGTCTGTGTATCCACTGTGGTAGCTCCTCTCACTCATCTCTTAATGTCTGCGTGCTCGCCTCTTGAGCCAGAAGTGTATCCACTGCGGTAGAAGTGTTGTTGCATTGCATTGGGATGTCTGGTGGTCAGATTTATATGCTGCTGTGTATATGTGTTATTGCTCTTACTCATTCTTCTCTCTGTTAATAGTGGATGTATTTGTTGTTTTGGTTCTGTTTCTATATACAGCAAGCAAGGTAATGCTCTTGCACCTCAGTTCCACTCATACCATCTATATTGTCAACAGAATTGACACATAAACTAGCTTGGGCCATCAAAATGATTATTGAACCAATTACCGATATAGTAATGAGTAATACAAATTTGCTTACCTTTAAAGCGTATATATAATTCAATCAGCAAAAATATCGATACAGCAACCTGGAATCAGCGTTTCTCGTTTAGAAAAAGTGGTGTGTGAGGATTTTGGCAAAAGACATGACCTTGTCATGACATGCCCACAAGGGACCTTTTATGGGAAACATACCGTACAAGTAGTAGTAGGGCAAACAGCACTATGCACTGTATACAAGCAGGAAGTATGTCTAACATCGAGAGCTCAGCTATTATTCGCGCATTTTGCTTCAGGCCCAAATCGGTGGTCGCCCTCGAGCCAATCCGCTCAAATCGTGACCATCCATTTCTATTTTCAGGCATTTGCACTGCCTCACACTCACTCCTTGGAACCCTACCTTCCACCTCGCAGTGTTTGGTGCTCATCCAGCCCTCGCCTCGAGATCTCCTTTTCTGTGTCCTGCTGCAGTCTTCTGGATTGGTCTTCTAGGGCTGTTCCATCCTCGTCAGGGTTCCTGAACCTATTTCATGAACGACGGAGGATCAGGCAATTTTCTGACATCCTGCTCACTTCTGACCCGTAAGAGCTCTGAAGCGAACTGTTTAACCACTCGTTGAGCTTCGACGTGTCGGAGTTGTGTAGGTAACTTGACAATCAAGTTGTCAGTTTCCGATCTGACTGCTTTTCGTCTAACTCTCCTCGCAAGCCAGCATGACCGATTTTGATGAATACGAGTATCTGGAGAAGGCGGTAGAGCAGGGAGCCGGAGGGGAAAAGGACGGCGGAGAGCAAGCACCAGAGGGCGAAGAGAGACGGAAGAGGGAGGGTGAAAACGGTGCGGGGGAGGACCAGGAAGACGAGAACCGGAGCAAACGGTCTCGTCGGGACGACGACAAAGAGAGGGATCGGGACAGAGATCGCAGCGGGAAGGATCGCGACAGAGACCGTGACAGGGAGAAGGACAAGGATCGCAGCGGGAGGGACAAAGATCGCGACAAGGATCGGAGCGAACGGCACCGGGACAGGGATCGCGACCGCAGCGACCGTGGAGATCGGGATCGCGACAGGGATCGGACTCGCGAGCGAGAAGGACACGATCGGCACAGGGACAGGGACCGTGATCGGAGGAGAGGAGACAGAGACCGTGATCACGAGAGGAAGCACAGAGAGTCCGGGTAAGGCGCGTGATTAGTATTTGTTTTGTCGTTCCGTGTAATTAGGGAGTATGGATCGGGGCTTTATGCGAGACGTCGTACCGAAGTTTTAGCTTTTCCGTAAGCAGTGAACACAATTGTCCCTGTTGCTGATAGGCACTATGATGTCGCCGTGCAGCAGTTCGCACCTTCTCTGTCTATAATGGTCTCGCAGTGTACCAATCGTGCCAATTCCGCGAGATTGACTATATGCTTTACCTGTCGCCCTGCCTTCCACTGACGACGTTGCAGGCGGGACAGTCGGCGAGAGAAAAAGGACAAGGAAGCGGAGCTAGAGCTCGACCCCGAAAGAGATCAGCGCACCGTGTTTGCCTACCAGGTATGCCGATTAAGTTTCTACAATGTTCTGCCTCTGCGTATCGGCAGACTATTGCTTTTCAGCGTTCTATGGCAGTTTCCCTCATGTGGTTCTCCATTTCTGCTGTGTCCTTGCTGCAGATCAATTTGAAGGCGGATGAGAGGGACATTTACGAGTTTTTCACTCAAGCCGGCAAGGTGAGCGAAATTTCACGCTGTTTCGTACAGCAACATCTGCGCGATTGTATGTAACTTGCCTCTCCTCGTTGGTTTCGAAGCAGTTCCCTAGCCTACTCTGTACTTTTGAAATGAGGTTATAGTGTGCGATCACATTGACCATCTCACGGTTTCCCCGGTCGCTGCAGTCTTCGCCTTTCCAGACTCTGACTTCGCCTTGCCTCATCTCTTCGTTGTGTCGCTCTTTCGTTGCCCTCGTCTGATCGGGTCTCAGGTGCGCGACGTGCGTCTCATCATGGACCGTAACTCTCGCCGTTCCAAGGGTGTCGGGTCAGTGTCTTTCCCTCGCCCTCCTTTGTCTATCTCCTTAGGTTCCCACCCCGTAACTCTCCCTGGTCCCTTAGGTCAACCCTTTCGCCCTCCCGCCATGCTTTGTTTCTCCTCATTCTCCACCTCCCTCTGCCCTAGCATTGACAGCTGAAAGCCTATCTCGCTCTGTCCTTTCGTCCCCGCTTTTTCGTCAGCCCATTTCGTCTCTTCCTCGCTCATATCCTTTCTCTCTTTACCCCTCTACCCCCCACCACCCCCCTCCCTCCCCGCCTTCTCCCCTTCTCCTTCCCTCTCCCCCCCCCTTCCCTTATGCGCAGCTACATCGAGTTCTACGACGTCATGTCGGTGCCCATGGCGATAGCGCTATCCGGCCAGCTGCTGCTGGGGACGCCCGTGATGGTCAAACCGTCCGAGGCGGAGAAGAATCTCGCCGCGCAGAACCCGCTGCCCGTCGTCGCGGGGATGGGGGGCCTCCCGGGCGTGGCTGGCGCGGGGTTCCTGGTGCCGAGCCTCACGGCGTCGTCGCGGAAGCTGCACGTGGGGAACCTGCACGTGAACATGAACGAGGAGCAGCTCCGTCAGGTGCGTCACGTCGCTCGCGCGCGCACGCGCGCGGTTTATTGGGTTTTCGGCGTTCAGGCCGCTGCTGGGTCTGGGCAGGCGAAAGTGCTCGGGATGGGGAAGGGGGCGGGGTACGGGGATCGGGGATCGGGGAGTTGGGAGTGGGGTGGATAAGGGCACAGTGTGGCTAGCAGGGCTGAGGAGGGGATGAATGGGCATGTTTGCAGCACGTAACTTCCCCTTGCATGAAGCTTCTGTCTCAAAAATTCCCTAATGCCCGTCCCTCCCCTCTCCCCCCCGATATCACCTCCCCGCTTTGCCCATCAACCACCCTTGTCCGTTTCTTACCTCCCATTTCGTCGTGCTTTCCTGGCCGGATTTTCGCACTCTTCCAGGACTCTTAGCGAGCTGAAGTAATCTGTCAATCTCATTCTGTTTATTGATTGGGAACACGTTTGTGGGTGTGAGTTTGTGTGTGCTCGGATGCTTTTCTCTCGTGCGTGTATGTGGTTTTCATGTGCATGCGTGTGTACGTGTCCGTGTGTGTGTGCATGTGAGTGTGCGTGTGCATGTGTGTGTGGGTCCATGCAGGTGTTTGAGCCGTTTGGGGAGCTGGAGCTCGTGCAAGTCCCCACAGAGGAGTCTGGAAAGTGCAAGGGCTTTGGCTTCGTCACGGTGAGTTTTTCCTGCCACTGCTGTCCCAGCTGCTGCTGAGAAGGCGGCGAGGGAGGTTGAAAGGGAGTCGAAAAGGGCGCCTGCTGCTGAGAAGGTGACGAGGGAGGCAGCTGGCACCCTTTTCGGCTCCCTCTCAGCCTCCCTCACCGCCTTCGCCACATGCTCCGCTCTGCCACCTGCGCTTCCCTCCCACCGCCCTTCCGCCTGTTCGTTCATGCGGCCCGGCTGCTCCTTGCCAAGCACTAGCCTACCACGTCGCGTAGCACGTCAAGAGCTGTGTCTCTGATTCCAGGCGCTTCTTCCGCGCATCTTGTCTCTTCTTCCCCCCCACCTTCTTCTCTCGCCGTGTGCGCTGTGTGAATGTGGCACCACAGTATGCCAAGGTGGAAGACGCTCGGATGGCCGGCAGCAACCTGCAGGGTCTCGAGCTCGCAGGTCTCGCTATCAAGGTGAGGGAGAGGGGGAGAGGGAGAGGGTGAGGGGAGAGTGTGAGGGAGGGAGTGAGGGAGGGAAGGGGAAAAGGGAGGGGTTGGTGGGGAATGGACTTGTTCGCTACTTGTTCTCATTGTTTCTAAATCTTTAACCTGGCGTTTGATGCTGCTGCTGCTGCTGCCGCCTTGCGCCCAGTGGTTGCGTGTTCTCACTCTGTGTTTGTCTCTGATGTGTTGGCCGGTCCCAGATCACTCCTGTGCCGGACACCTATGGTGTGGCTGACGCAGTGCAAGCAGTGCCAGGGCAACTGGACGAGGGCGAGGGAGGCATGGTGTGTATCCCGATACTCTTCTCCATCATTCCTGAAATTCTTAATTTCTCTCTGCTACTGAAATTCTGCCTTTTTGTCTCTTTCTGCTACATCCTCCCTTGTTCTCGTGTTAGCCACAACAACCTCCCATCCTTCCCAACCCCTCCTCACTCCTTTCCACCCCCTCCAACACACCACTTCTTTCCCGTTTCGCTGCACAGGCTCTAACTGCGCAGTCTCGTGCAGCACTCATGATGAAGCTCGACCGCACAGGGTAAGCCACTCTCACTACCCTTTTGCTTCTTGCATGCCTTATTAACTACCACTAAAACGTAAGACTCTGCCTCACCCGTCTCCCATCACTGTCGCCCTCCCTCCCCATGTCACGTCTCACACACATCCTTCTGCGCGTGTGCTACCCCTGCTCCCACTCCCTTCCTGCTCTGCAGGGTGGCAGGCGCGCCGGTGCTGCCATCACCAGGAGTGAATCCAGCAGCCATGGGGCTTCTCAGCAGCAACCCTCTGGCTGCCATGGGTCTCCGCCCTCCCATCCTGCCCCCTGCTGGCGGCGGCCTTGCGTCCATCCCAGGGGGAGCAGCAGCCGCAGCAGCTGCAGCAGCAGCGCTTGCAGCAAACCCGCTCATTGCCGCTGCTGCCGCTGCTGGTGGGGGGACGCCGCTGCCCCCTCCTGCTGCCGCGGCCGCTGCTGCTATGGCGGCAGCAGCTGCAGCTGCTGGTGGTGGTGCTGCGGCTCCAGCAGCAGCAGAGGTGGTGGGGCCGCCCACGGAGTGTCTGCTGCTCACCAACATGTTCGACCCGTCTCAGGATGTATGTGTGCTCATCTGACTTACACACGTGCGTGCGATGTTCCTCCTCTGGGACTTGTGTGGGTCGTCTTTGCATGACTGCTTTCCGCCAGCGCCCCCCCCCAAACCCGCCTTCCCCACCGCCCCTGCCCCTCCCCCCACCACCCTTTCTCCCTCCTCCCCTTGCCTTCGTCTTGGCTCTCCTCTTTTAGCCCTCATTTTTTTTTTGCAGTACCCATGGCTGTTCCTCACATCCTCCTCCCCTCCCCCTCTCCTCCCTCTCCGTTCTCCCCCTTCCCCCCGCTCCCCTCTCCCTTTCCCTCCTCCTTCCGCCTCCTGTCCCTGTGCCCGTGCCCGTGCCTGTGCCCGTGCCCGTGCCTGTACCTGTGCATGCGACATGTGTGTGTGGGGTTGGGCACCTGCAGATAGACGAGGAGTTTGAGCAGGACATACGGGAGGACGTGGAGGACGAGTGCACCAAGTTTGGCCCGGTCAAGAAGGTCAACGTTGACCGGTGAGTGCCACTCAACGCCCAAATCTGTCGCTGCTAGAGGGCTTGTAGAAGGTTGCTGGGCTTATGGGGCACAGTGGGTTGCACGTGCATGGAATGGAAGGGATGGTTGTGTGCAGATTGGTGATTTGTCATTTGCTGCTGAAATCTGAACACTCAGATCAGACTACATGCATTCACTCTTTAAGCTTCCCTCGTCCAAGCCCGTTTGAATTGAAGCTCCCATGCTGCCTTTCTTTCATGATCCCTCGACTCCCCTCGTCCCCTTTTTTCGCCACATCCCCTTTTCCAACACTTTGTTTCCTGCCCTCTTTCTTCCCCCTTTCGCTTTCTGAGCAGGCACAGCAGTGGGCATGTGTATGTGCTGTTTGAGTCGGCCACATCTGCAGCAGCAGCCCGTGCGGCGCTGCACAACCGCTACTTCGCTGGCAAGGCCATCAGCGCCACCTTCATTGTAAGCACACACCCGCCTCTGCTATGCTATGTGGCTGCCTCATGAGTTTCTGTTCAAGTCTTTGCCATAAGGTGTTCGGGGGTATGGCGGTGAAGAGGGAGATTCTGGGTTTGGAGAGACAAGGGTGGGGTAAGGAAAGGATGGGTTTGTATCTGCTGCTGTTTGGAGAGACAAGGATGGGTGTGGGTTTGAAGAGGTGTTTGGGTTTGGAGAGACAAGGGTGAGGTAAGGAAAAAGGATTGTGCTGCTCGAAATGCTTGGTTCTTTTTACGTTCTACTGACTTTCTGCTTTTCGTTTGCTGTTGTTTGCCCACCTGTGCTCTCCACTTGCTTCTTTGCTGCAGACTCCTGCGCAAGTGGCGGCCAAGTTTGGTGCCACATAGAGTGTGGTGCTTTGTGCAGGTGCAGGAGCAGGAGCAGGTGGAAGAGCAGGTGCAGGTTCAGGGCTGGCAGGCAGACAGTAGCGGATTGAAGGCCCCAAGAATGAAGGCGCTGGTGATGCAATGGGAGACTCGCTGCTGGAAGGGATGGGTTTGTATCTGCTGCTGCTGCTGCTACTGCTGCTGCTGCTGCGCCGCTGTCTGCTGCTTCTGGCTTCTGGCCGAATGCTCTCATGCATCTCGAGTGATTGGTGGCAGAGAGTCAAGTCGGCAGAGAGTCGTCAGGTTGGAATGGAAGTCGTTGGAGTACCCAAGTCAAGTGAAGACCCCCCCTCTGTGTTTTCTCTTGGGCTCGTACGGGCTGCTTGAGCAGTGCTGCTGGTGCTGGTGGTGGTGCGGCTGGTGGTCGTGCCGGTGCCGGTGGTGGTGGTGCTGCTGCTGTTTGGCCTTCTCTCCCGTGCGCCTACTGCTCTGCGTCACCTCACCACTGCTGGCTCTGCTTCTGGCCGCTTGCCCATGCGATTCAAGACCCGCTGCTGCTGGCCTTTCTGGCGTGGGGTGGCATGGCATGGCGTGGCACAGCTGCCGTGTGCTTCAAAGGGTTTAGAGTGGCACTCTGTGTGCATCTGATTGCCTGCGTTTCCGCCTCCCTCCCTCCCTAGCTTCCCACTAATTTCATCACCAACCAACAATCCACGGAGATTTTTTTCGTCTCGTCACACTCACCTTGTCTCTTCGCTCCTTCCCATGGTTGCCCCAGGTCCTAGGCTCTTGAGAATCACGAACCACGGGTTCTGCACCCGCCCATTCCCTGCTTGTTGGATCGATTCGTTACTTCTGTTACCCTTCCATGTGTCCGAAATTTGTCCTGCACAAGCGTTTGATCCGTTTTTTGCTGCCAAAAATCGTATTGCGTGCTTGATCGTATTGACTGTTGTGGTAGGCGATTTGCTGCAGTAATATTTACGTAACAACTACCAATGCCACCTACTTTCTGCTAAAATTGCTCTTTTTGCTACCGTGAAGTGTAAGTGGGTGAATTTTGTGCCGCAACCGCGGCCTTCACTATCGAGTTATTGGTTCATACACTTGTCACGGGAAGAATATTCGGCCGATAAACCTCCCGTAATGGCTGCTGGAGCAACAGCAGCGCCGGTTGCGCGGGCGGCCGCAAACCGTCTACTTCATCCATACTGCGCCGTCACGCGCGCTGCGAATGCGTGCTCTAGCCAACGGATCGGCTCCCGCCTATCAAGCCGCAGAAGTTCGGCTACAGTTGACACTGGCGGGTACAATGGCAATAAGAACGCCTGCGGGTGCACTTGCGGGAGGGGAGTCACCGGAAGCGCAGCTTTTTGCGGAACCGCGCCGGCGCATGTTCCGCGCGTGCCCGCGGAGGCTTCCGCCAGGGCGGCAGTTACGCCTCCCGCGGGGGGCTCCCTTTCAAGTCTCTGGTCGCGCAGTCATCCCCCCAGGCGATGGCGGAGTGCGTGTGCTGCGATGGGCGGGCCGCAGTCCGCGGATTCCGCGGATGGAGTAGCGGCTGTCGAAACTGCCGCGGAGGCCGGAACTCCCCGAACCCCCTCTCCTTTCCCCCTTCCAAGCACGTTCCCCGTTCCCCTCACCTCCCCTCTCACCCTCCAACAACCACCCATCAGCATCAGCAGCAACAGCAGTAGCGAAGGCGACAGCAGCAGCAGCAGCGACAACGGGACCGACGTCGGCGCGCAGGTGGAGGAGTTGACGAGCGAGGAGGTGATCGGTGCGCTGCAGCCGCTGATCGAGGCGCAGCGCTGGCAGCGCATGGCGGAGGTGGCGCGCGCGCGCACGTTCGCGGTGGTGCCCGTGGTGGAGGGCCTGGCGGACCTCGGGAATGTCTCCGCCGTGTGCCGCACCGCGGACGGGCTGGGATACCAGAACGTGCATGTCATCACCACCCGCAGCTATGGGGACGACGCTGCTGCTGCTGCTGCTGCTGGTCCCGCTGGTGCTGCTGGTGCCGCTGGTGGCGCTGGTGTTGCGGGTAGGGGTATTACTGACGTGTGGAGTGGCGGTGGGACGTATGGAAAGGAGTACTTGTCGTGGGAGTTTGAGAGCGATAGTGATGGTGAGAGTGAGAGTGGTGGCGATGGTGCTGCGGTGGTCGTCGTAGGCGGGATGAAGCATAAGAAGAAGAAGAAGGGGAGGAGGAAGGGCGGACCTATGAACATGTACAGGCAGAGCGCGCGAGTGAGCATGGGGTCGGATAAGTGGTTACATGTGGAGACTTGGGATACCACAGGGGAGTGCCTGCAGGAGCTCAAGAGACGGGGTTACCGCATCGCCGTTACGTCCCTCTCTGATCGAACTGTAAGGCGATGTGCCACTTGAACGTTTCTCTCTCGTTAGCTGTGGTTTGTTCCTCCCCGGTCTGCCTGATGTTGTTGCCATTTGAGAAACGGTGCACTCAATGCTCCGTCCGTGGTTGACTTACTCCTGGTTGACTTCACGTATGCCTATGATGGCGAATGGCCTTGTCATCCGGTTGGTTCTTCTGTCTGTCTGACCACCATGCGTTCTTCCATGCCAGTGACCGCTATGACCGCTATCACCACCACCATCACCACCATGACCGTGTGTGCGGTGGTTGTTGTGTGTGTGTGTGTGTGTGTGTGTGTGTGTGTGTGTGTGTTTGTGTGTGTGTGTGTGTGTGTGTGCAGGTGCCCATATACGATGTGGACTGGACGATTCCCACTGCTATTGTCTTCGGCAACGAGCACAGGTGATTCCGCTGCCGCTGCAGAGTCCGTTGCTGCTGCTGCTTCCATGGCTGCTGCTACTGCTGCCGCTACTGTTCACACCTGCTGCTGCTGCTTCCATTCTGCTGCCGCTACTGTTCACACCTGCTGCTCTCTCCTCGTTCCGTCGGAGCTCTCTCCTTCCTTGTTCCTCACTGTAGCCTGCACTTTCCTGCCCCCAACCACTCTCCACTGTACAGCGGCGTGTCGGAGGAGGTGGAGCGAGCAGCGGACGTGGTGGTGAGCATCCCCATGGCGGGCATGGTGGAGTCGTTCAACATCTCCGTCGCTGCCGCGAACCAACGCGCCCTGTGCACCCACCCGCCAACAAACCCCCCTCTCGCTCCCCTCCCTGGTGCACCCCCCTCCCACATTCGTGAGTGCAGCGGTGTGTCAGAGGAGGTGGAGCGAGCAGCGGACGTGGTGGTGAGCATCCCCATGGCGGGCATGGTGGAGTCGTTCAACATCTCCGTCGCTGCTGCCCTCACCCTGCACCACGCTGCTCGCATGCGCCTCGCGTCCCTGGTGCGTGGACAGGGAGAGTCGCGTTGAGGTAGTTTGAAAGTTGCCTCGTCAGTGGGTGGGAGTGGTGGCATGCAGATGCTGGTGTGGGCATGGGCATGGGCATGGGCATGGGCATGGGCATGGGCATGGGTATGGGCATGGGGATTCGGATGGCCCCCTGAGAGAGGGCCTTGTAGTCGTTGGATGTCATGGTGGTATTGTGGCTTCATTGCCGTACTGTGCGCATGGGAACATGCACTCACAGTGGGGGTGCTGCTGGTCTTGGTGCTGGGTGGTAAGGTGTGAGGAGATTGAGCATGTTAACTCTGTTTCTGTGTGTGTGTGTGTGTGTGCGCGCGCGCGCATTCGTCTCTATGTGCGTGGATGCATGCGTGTCTGTGTGTGCATGAGTGCATACTCTGTACCACCAGGGCTATCACGGGGACCTATCACCAGAGCAGCAGCGCATTCTGCTCGCGAACTTCGCCCTGCGTCACCGCGGCTTCCGCTCTCGTAGCGTGGTGGAGCACCTAGTGCACACGCGCGCCAAGGCCGCTGCTCAACACGCTGCCGCCCTTGCTGCTGCTGCTGCTGCTGCAGCCGCCGCTCACAGCTCTGACGCTGCTGCCACCGTTGATGCTGATGCTGCTGAGTGTGCTGCTGCAGGCAGGGGTGATGGTGAATCTAGACTTGGCAGCACACCAGTAGGGGCATCAGCATGGAGGTTGGAGAGGCTTGTGGGCGAAGAGAGGGGAGCAGGTGCTGTTGCAACGGAGGTTGATACTGATCCTTTTGCTGCTGCTGCTGCTGCTGCTGGTGTTGGGTCCAGTGGTATCCGTTAAAGCCCGCATGCAAAATAGTGACCCCTGTCCCAACTTGAATGAGGAGTTGCATGTGAGGATGAAACCAGTCTCAAAAACACTGTTTCAAACGATTTGTATGGGCAGAGTGAACTCATGTCATTGGCCCTCGCCACAATGGAACGTGATGGTTCCCGCCAAAATGATTTTTTTTTCACATTTCAGCCGTCGCATTTTTGCGTGCCGCATCCGCACGACAAACCCCAGGCGATGGTTTCCCATCGCAGGCCCAACCTCATTTTCAAGCTGGTGGTGGGTGCATTACTAGATTTCTGTCACTCCATTCATCACTAGTTTCCGCATAGCATAGTAGTAGAGCTGAAAGCACATGCGATTGTGTCATAGCCACGTAATTACCGACGAGTGCGTCAATTGTCGACTTAGCGAGAGTGTGAAATGTAGGTTTACGTGGCCTGGTAGCGCAGTGCCCGTTTCCCGTCTCGCCATTGCTGGTGGGGTCCGCCGACGCCTCGCTCTCTAGTCCGTCCCGTCGCCTTTCCGTCGCCCTCGCAAACGCACACGCGACGGCCCTCCCGTCGTCGTCACGGTCTCCCCTCCCGGTTATTCTCCCGTTCACCCCTCTTGTCCCCTCGCCCTCGCGAGTTCCCTCCGAGCCCGTCGCCTTCCCGTTCTCCCGCCCCTCGCTTTCGATGTCCCCTCTTCCTTCCCGTCGCCCTCACTATCTCCCTTCCCTCACGTTGCCTTCGTTGTCCCCTTTTTCCTTCGTTCCTTCCCGTCGCCCTCGCGATATCCCTTCCCCCTCCCGTCGCCTGTCCGCTCTCCCTCCCGTCGCCTTCGCGCTCTCCCCCGTCGCCTGTCCGCCCTCCCTCCCTTGGCCTTCGCACTTTCTTTCCCGTCGCCTGTCCACTCTCCCTCCCATCGCCTTCGCACTCTTCATCCCGTCGCCTTTCTCCTTCCCCACTTCATCTCCTATCGCACCGCCCTTCCAACGCCATTTCCGTTCCGCTCGTTTAGTATAGCCCTACCGCCGTCCTTCCTCTCTCTTTTCCCATGACCCACCTCGTTGCCGTGGCGCTCTCGCCCAGTCGCCCTCCCGTCGCTCTTCCTCTCGCCCCTGCCATCACCCACCTCTGCGCCGTCACGCTCGTTTCGAATAGCCCTCCCATCCCTTCCCGCTGCTCTCGCTCTCTCCCATCCCTTCCCGTCGCTCTCGCCCTCTCCCATTCCTACCCGTCGATCTCGCTCTCTCCCATCCCTTCCCGTCGCTCTCACCTTCTCCCATCCCCTCGCCATCGCGCTCACGTTCCTCGTCTCCCGTACCATTCGCGCTCGCACATTCTCATCCCGTCCCGTACCGTTCCTCCTCTCTCCCCGTCCATCCCGTCATTCCTCCTCACTGTCCTCCCATCCCGTCGTTCTATCTCTCTCCCTTCCCGTCCCGTCGTTCCTCCTCTCTCCCCTTCCCATCCCGTCGTTCCCGCTCTCTCCCCTTCCCATCCCGTCGTTCCGTCTCTCTCCCCTCCCATTCCGTCGTTCCGCCCCTCTCCCCTTCCCATCCCGTCGTTCCGTCTCCCTCCCCTCCCGTCCCGTCGTTCCGCCTCTCTCCCCTTCCTATGCCGTCGTTTCGCCTCTCTCCCCTCCTATCCCGTCGTTCCTCCTCTCTCCCCTTCCCATCCTGTCGTTCCCGCTCTCTCCCCTTCCCATCCTGTCGTTCCGTCTCTCTCCCCTCCCATTCCGTCGTTCCGCCCCTCTCCCCTTCCCATCCCGTCGTTCCGTCTCCCTCCCCTCCCGTCCCGTCGTTCCGCCTCTCTCCCCTTCCTATGCCGTCGTTTCGCCTCTCTCCCCTCCTATCCCGTCGTTCCTCCTCTCTCCCCTTCCCATCCCGTCGTTCCCGCTCTCTCCCCTTCCCATCCCGTCGTTCCGTCTCTCTCCCCTCCCATTCCGTCGTTCCGCCCCTCTCCCCTTCCCATCCCGTCGTTCCGTCTCCCTCCCCTCCCGTCCCGTCGTTCCGCCTCTCTCCCCTTCCTATGCCGTCGTTTCGCCTCTCTCCCCTCCTATCCCGTCGTTCCTCCTCTCTCCCCTTCCCATCCCGTCGTTCCCGCTCTCTCCCCTTCCCATCCCGTCGTTCCGTCTCTCTCCCCTCCCATTCCGTCGTTCCGCCCCTCTCCCCTTCCCATCCCGTCGTTCCGTCTCCCTCCCCTCCCGTCCCGTCGTTCCGCGTTCCTCCTCGCCTTGTTCATCATTTTTTTTTCCGTTCGTTCTTTTTTTCTCAACTCCCTATTCTATCGCCTCGACTACAAGTCCAAAGAAACACTTTTTTCACATCTCTGCTAGCTCGTCGGACAACCTTTATGGTGTTCCACTGTCATCTCGTGCATATGTGCGTGCGCTGGATTTTGCCAATGTTGTTGCTTGATGTGAAGTTTGACAACTCCTTGTCTGAAGACATAGCATTGAAAACTTGCGCCAAATTCGCACAGGCAAGTGAGTGAAAGTCGCTGCCAATCAAAATTGTAGAAAAGTTCCAAATGTTCCCTGTTCACATCGAGACTCGACTGGGGGTGTAAAAACAAAACTTATAGCACTTCAACCTCTCAAAACGTTCCAAAAAACTTGTCTTCAAATGGACCCAACTAGAAGGGGGGGGTCACTATTTTAGCTACGGGCTTTAAACAGCAGAGTTGCCGCATATTGGTTGCTGAAAACGTCGAAACAATGGAGAACGGGTATGGTAGTATGGTTATAATGTCAGTTGCTTGACACTGTCATAAGCAAAGCCATTTGTATTGAATCTGGATCTGGATGAGTGTCAATTCCAAGTGCTAGTGTAATTCTTTTGGGTGGAAGCGGCCTCAAATCCACGCTGCAATAAAGCAACGCCATGAACAAAAACAACTGCATAAACCGCATGGCAGTGTCAATGTTGCGCTGTATCACTTCCAAGTGCCCTCAAACCAGTCACTAGGCTACCTCAGTTGCTTCTCTTGCGATTGCATCCACTGGGAGTGAACAACCTTCTCAAAAGTGACACCTCCTCCACACTTGACAGTGTTTTTGTTGACCTAGGGGTGGTGTGGTGAGTCGTGAGCGTGAAAATCATCATCACATGCCATGGCATCATGCATGCACGTGCAGCAGCGCTGCTGCCCTGTGGTCCACTCCCACTGCATCTTCCACGGACTCAAACCCATCCCGTGCCAGACACTCTGCTAGCTCCCTCTGCGCACAGCAGGAGGTGCAACGGACGGGGCCATTGGAGAGCACAGAGGGGGAAACAGGAGGCAACGGAGGGGGGCAACGGGAGAGCAAGAGCCGGAGCAAGCGCAGGTGAGTTGTGGTGCAAGGGCAGGTAAGAGCAGGCGAGGCAGGTGGCAGCACAGCACAGGGCAGGGCAGGGTAGGGCAGGATGGTGCTGCCATTCATGGTGCTGCCATTCATGGTGCTGCCATTCATGGTGCTGCAGGGCAGGGTACGGCAGGGCAGGCAGGGCAGGATAGGGCAGCCATTCATGGTGCTGCAGGGACGCAGTGGCAGGCATGTCGTTTGTGAGCACCCACATGCTTTTCAGTCGACTCAAAAGCAGACTCATTACACGTGGCATGCCGTTTGAAAGCACCCACATGCACGCATCGCACTGTGCTGGCGGTTGGAGAGACAACGGCTGGGCAAGGGGAAGCGCAGGGAGAAGGAGCAGCAGGGAGCAGGGAGGTGCATACCTTGATTCTGGGCAGCACCCCTGCGCCTTCATACACCATGGCTGTGTATATCTGCACCAGCGATGCTCCCGCTCGTATCTTGGCGTAGGCATCGGCACCGCTGGTTACGGGGGAAGCCAAGGGGGTGGTGGTCCATGCAGGGGGGAGTGAGTGAGTGAGTGAGTGAAAGGGTGAGCTTGCTGCGTTGATTATGGGATGGGTGTGAGAGAATATGGAAGCCAGCAAGAGGTTCAAGCATGTTGGCTTGTGCAGATGCAGCAGATGCACAAGGGGAGGCGCGTGAAAAGAACCTGAATAAGCAGTGGTAGATGTGGAACAAGATAGGGACACCGGGCAGATGTGGGACAGAGAGATGTGGGACAGATGTAGTAGATGTAGATAGATTGACATGGCATGTGGCATGTGGCATGTGGTTGGCATGTGGCATGTGGCATGTGGCATGTGGCTGTCAGCGGGTGCCTCCATTCACGTGAGCGAAGATCCGATAGGGAAAGAATGACAAGTACACAGCCGTACCTGAAGATGCCTCCACATCCTATTAGCGTGACCCGGCCCTGCAGTCACGAGTGGCGGCGGGCAGAGACGGGACGGGGGAGATGGATGGACGGGGGTGGCATTAAGTGTCACAGTATAAAGATTTGTCCCACAGACGGATTTTGATCCGCAGGATGAAATGAACAGTAACACGGCCATGCACCCCTTGCACACATACGGTGCACACACACACACGGTGCACACACACACACGGTGCACACACACACACGGTGCACACACACACACGGTGCACACACACACACGGTGCACACACACACACGGTGCACACACACACACGGTGCACACACACACACGGTGCACACACACACACGGTGCACACACACACACCCACCTTAGTAAGGCGGTACATTTCGCGCAGAGTGTGTGTGGAGGGGTCAAAGAGAGGGCGGCCACTGAGGCCCCCCGGCTCATCTGCATGTAGCAGCCCCAGCACGGAGTCAGGGCGCGACACCGTTGTGTTTCCCACTATCTGCTCCCATGGGCGTTGGGGAATGAGCAGTGCACGTGGGGAGTGCAGATGGAAATTGCAGTGGAAGAGTGCGGTTGGGAGTGGGGATGGGGAATAGCGTTGTTTAGAGAAAGGGCAGGGAGGGTGGGAGAGAAGGAAGATAGGGTCAGAGGGGTGGAGTGGAGTGGAGGGGAGGAGGGGGGTAGGAGGCGGGCATGCGGGGAACGGTGTTATACTTGTGCGTTTCGTTGGGGGTTTGAAGAAACGATGACGAGGAAAGCAGTCACAGAAGCTAGGGGTGAGTGTGAGGTGAAGGAGAGGAATAGGGCGTGAGGGAGTGAGTGAGGGACTGAGTGAGAGACTGAGGGAGTGATGAGGGAGTGATGAGGGAGTGATGAGGGAGTGATGAGGGAGGGAGGGCGAGCACTGACCAGGCCATCGAGCTTGAGAGAGAGAGCAACCTGCAAGAGGGAGAGAAGGAGAACGGGGGTTGGGACGCAGAAAGAACAGCAGTTGCAAATGGTGTGAACGGAATTAAGACGAGAAAAACGGGCGAGCAGGAAATTATAAGAGGAAGAAAAAGGCGAGAAATCACAGGCTGAAGAAATGAGAGTGCAGCACAGAAGAGAAAGGGAAGTGGAAGGGGATGGGGAGGTGGAAAGAGAAGGGAGGTGCAAAGGAAGGGGAAGGAAGGAGTGAAGCAGCAAAGAATGACAGTGGCAACATCAACCAAGTCCTGCTGGGGAAGGTCCGGGGGAACCTTGTTTGAAATGTAGCATGTCCAGCTGCTGTGAAAATGTCACTTTCGAATCGACTCCAAAGTGACCTACTTTGAGATGTAGCATCTCCAACAGCTGGAAAAAGGGTGCCAAGAACTCACAGCGGCAATGTCGGCCATGTCTTGCTGGGAGAGGTCTGGGGAGATCTTGAGCAGCAGCGGCGGAGGGCCCTCCTCGCCCCACTGCATCTCCTCCCTCGCTGCCAACACCTGGCAGCCAACGCAACGCAGGCGCGCGCATGTGCACAGTAGGGTGGGTACAACGGGGGCAGGCGGGTGGGTGGGTCAGTGTGGGTCAGTGGACAGGCAGGTGGGAGGAGGTTTCTGATGGTGAGAGAACTCACACACCTCCTCCCACCTGAGGAGGTTTCTGAGGTGGACACACTTAGTTGCCTGAATACTCAGACAACCTGAGTTGATAGGTCACTCAGAAAACTGCTCTCAGCTCAGGTTGGCAGGTGGGTGGGTGGGTGGGTGGTGGGAGGGTAAGGGGGCAGGTGGACAGGCGACTAAGTGTGTGGAAGGGCGGCCAGGCGCCAGTGTACCTTCTTGAGCAGTCCGTGCAGGTGCCGCCGCCCCTGCAGCTTCCTCAGCCCCGGGGTATTCGGCGAGGACACATTCACCACCAGGAAATCCGCATACTGCGCGAGGGTATGCATGCCCTGCACAAAATCCTCTGCAGCGTCGTCCGTCCACTTGTTCTTCCCCAGGTTCACCCCCACCAGTCCGCGCCTGCCCGCGCTCCCCCCGGCTGCTGGCGGGGCAGCCGCGCGGTCCTTGCCGGTCTTGAGCCCCTCGGGCTTCTCCACTGCGCGCCGCCTGCCCTGCTGCGCGCCAAGCCGCTCCGCCACTGCTGCTATGCCCTCGCTGTTGAACCCGTACCGGTTGATCACCGCCCTGGGGGAGCGGGAAGGAGGGGAGAGGGGATGGGACGGGAGGGAATATAAGGGGAAGGCAGAAAGGGGGACTTTGGCGACGTTTTACAAAGGGAGAGGGGAGAGGGGAGAAGGGAGACTTTAGAAGGGTGACTTTAGAAGGGTGAAATTAGGGACATAGCGCGAGTTCACCACCTGCAGCTTGAGAGTAATAAGGGGCCCAACCAATGGCAGCACACACAACGAACACAGAAACAAGCACCTCACACCAAACCCCCCACACGCCCACCCAGCACCCACCACTTATCCACACCCATCCACCCACTCATATCCACCCACTCATATCCACCCACCCACCCACTTTTGCTCCGGGATCCGCCAAACCCTCGGCTTGGGATTCCCCGGCTGCGGCGCCGGCGTAACACTCCCAATCTCCATGAACCCAAACCCCATGCCCAGCAGCCCGTCCACCGCGCGCCCATCCTTGTCAAACCCCGCGGCCAGCCCCACAGGGTTGGGGAAGGCGCGGTTCCACAGCGCTATGCAGAGGGACGGCGGGTCGGGGCGGTGCTCGTGTGGCACGAGGGAGAGCTCGGCTGAGAGGAGCGCCAGGCGGTGGGCTGCTTCGGGGTCTAGTAGGCGCAGGAAGGGGGTGACTGCGTCCGATGCTGCGAAGGACCACTTGCTGGGGGAGGGGCGGCATGGGGGGATGCATGAGGTGGGAGGGGGGGAGTAGGGTGGGTGCGAGGAAGCGGCAGTAGATTGAGCGTATGAGTGGGATAGATGCATGGAGACGGAGGCACCGCATGCGTGAGTGTGTCCCGGTACAGGGTTTAAGGTTTAAGGTTCAACGTTCGGAAATTTCTACACATTTCCTGACTGAACTCATGGGTTACGACCCCAATTCCACCCCATCCCACCCCCACCCCATCCCACCCCATCCCACCCTTATCCCACCCCTATCCCACCCTTATCCCACCCCTATCCCACCCCTATCCCACCCCTATCCCACCCCTATCCCACCCCTATCCCACCCCTATCCCACCCCTATCCCACCCCTATCCCACCCCTATCCCACCCCTATCCCATCCCAGCCCATGCCATCCCATGCCATCCCATGTCATGCCATGCAATGCCATGCGGCAGGGCACCTGATGGTCTGGGGGTCTTGTGTGCTGAGCAGCACGCCCGCAGTCATGGTGGACCCCACCAGCGTCGCCCCCGCCAAACGCGCCTGCAGAGGGGTGAGAAGCGATAACAATGTTCCCATGAGCGGTGGGAAAGCGGGGGGCAGCGGGGAGGGGTGTGGCGAAGGGGAAAAGGGGTTAGAGAGTGGGGGCGGTGGGGACGGCGTGAGTGGGAGAGGGGTGCGGCCGGGAGCATGTGCTATGGCTTGTGAAGCAGCAGCGGCATCAGCGATATGAGGAAGCAAAAGTGGGCAGTGGGGGAGGCGGCTGCAGGAGCGATGCGGGTGCAGGTGCGGGTGTGGGTGCGGCAGTACCCAGTGTGTTTTCGCGCGTCCCTTCGCCCCGCCAGCGCCATTCCCGGCTGCGGCTGCAGCTGCAGCTGTTGTTGTTGCTGCCGCCGACACTGCTGCTGCCACCCCCACTCCTTCGCTAGCAGCAGCAGCAGCAGCAGAGGTGGTAAAGGCCCCAGCTTGCGAAACAGCGCGAGTAGTAGAGAAAGTAGACAGAGCTCTCAGATGCATGGGGATGCCGAACGCGGTGCTGGGAGTTGCGGAGGTGGCGGCGGCGGCGGCGGCGGCTGCGGCGGCGGGGGTGGTTCCATAGGCGCAACGCGCCATGGTTCTGTGTCTCCCCACGCCGCCTGTGAGCAGCCCCGTCGCGCCCAACCTCGAGATTGCCGCTGCTCGCGACGACGACAGTGCTGCTGCTAATGGTGAGAATGATGATGCCAACGGTAACGAAGGCCGTGCTGCCGTGGCTGCTGTCGCTGCTGCTGGCACTCCTGCCACTGCAGCAGACGAGGTAAGCTCGCCTCTGGCTGCTGCCGCAGCTGCTGCATGTGCCGGCACACGCGCACCAATCACATCGCAACACGCGGCTCTAGATCCAAGCGCAAATGCTGGCCCTACTCGTCCTCCTCCCGCTGCCGCCGCTGCAGCCTCTGCAGCCGTTGCCGTCGTCGCCACGGCCGAGGCACCCGCAGCTGTGCTTGAAGCTACCCCTTCCACCCTCGCTCCTAGACCTCCACCCGCGCCTACCGCTGCCGCCGCTGCTTCGCGCGCTGCGCCATCGCGGCCTGCCACGTGTCTATGCACCAGCGACGCCGCCCGCCTCGCCACCACCCGCGCGGCCGCCCGCCCCATCCGCGGCTCGTCCGCGGGAGCAACTAACGTCCTAGAAGGTACGACTGGCGTGGAAGCTGGCGGGTGAAGTGGAAGCTGCTACGACTACGGCAAATGCGACGTTTAGACGTCTATTCAATCGAGCTAATCTGATCAACACCGAGCAGAGGCCGAGAGGATATGGACGCCCACCGGCGATAGCAGGCAATCGAGGAAAAGCAGGCCGATCGCGATTCGGAAAACGAAAGGAAAAATAGTTTTTTTGGCAGGTGAATGGTGGTAAGGTCGGGTGATCTATTCTTTAGGCGCCTCAAACATGGTGCTTAGCTCGGGTGACACGCGGCGCTGCGCGCGTCATTGGAGAAGCGTCTGACCGCACGAGATCCGTGTACTCCGCGCGATCGGCGGCGGTGACGAGATGGGCGACGGGATGAGCGACCGAATGCGCGACAGGATGGGCGACAGGATGGGCGACGGGATGGACGAAACTGGTGACTCCTATTCGTCACGGACTAAAAAGACTCATTAGTCTGAGAAGAGATGAGATGAGATCCCAAGAAACAAACAAACCAGCTGGTACAGGCCAGCCACCCTCGTCCCCTCTCCCCCTCCTTTCTTTGTTTCCCCTGATCGTCGCACCTGATTGGACGCGAAGCGGAAACAAATCACCCTCTCGCAGGTTTTGGATCACGCGGCGAGATTGAGAGTCAGATCTCGTCAAGCTGCAACCGCGAACTCATACAGGGTAACTAGCGTTACACATGTCCTGCATTGGGTGGGATGAGAGGAGTTTGCGCACCCCAGCAAATCCATCCATTTTGCACAACAGTATCCATTGATTCCCCATCACCACCCATTCTCCCTCTCCTAAAACAACTTCCTCCCTTCGAAATCCCGCATCCGCCAATTCATCCACTCAATTCTTGCCTTCCCTCCTCTTCCCTCGTTATTTTGACCATTGACTTGCCCTTCCCTTCTCGACTTCTGAATATTCGCGACAGCGTTGGGATTGTGATAGTCACCGTCATGGCCACGTCGCGAGTGCTCAAGGAGATTTCGCCAGCCGTCACGAAAATCGGGTAACCGTTTCTCTCAAAACTGTCGCGCCGATCTCGCGCTTCGCTGGTTGCCATGATTGTTCTTCACCTTCCACCCGTTCGTTCCGCGTACCCGCGACAGTATCACTGTGTCATCCCTCTCCTCTACCTCCTGTTTTCGCACTGGTTATGGAATGGAACAGGGGAGGAGTGAGGGGTGAGTCGGGCTGTGTTTTTCCAGGCGAGCTTATCATTCTGTATTTTGGATTTTGATGATCTTATGCAACGTGTGTGATGTGGTGTGTGGGTGTGTGGGGAGGGAGTGGTAATGAGATGCGGGCGATGGGATGGGATGCCATGCGGTGCGATGCGATATGCGCAGGTGGGTTGGCACGGGAGTGATGGGCGCCGCCATGTGCGGGCACCTGCAGGCTGCTGGCTATGCCGTCAACGTGTTCAACCGCACGCCCAGGTATCATCATTGCCCCTCCCTCTCCACGTTAAGGGCTCGCCCCCCCAACCACTCCCTCCACCTGCCATTCACCCCTCCTGCAATTCCTCCTCCTGCAATTCACCCCTCCTGCAATTCACCCCTCCTGCAATTCACCCCTCCTGCAATTCACCCCTCCTGCAATTCCCCCTCCTGCCATCTCTGTATCTGCCTTCATCACCCATATCCCGGTTTCCATTCCAACCCCCACACCCGGATCCCCCACCCACCCCGCAATACCCATCGCCCATCACCCGTGAACTGCCGTGCCCCCATGGCCCTGCGGCAGCAAGGCGGAAGAACTGGTGGTGGGCGGGGCAGTGCTGTGTGAGTCGCCCGCTGCTGTTGCCGCCATCTCAGACGTCGTCTTCAGCATCGTCGGGTGAGCTCACTCCACACCCTGCCCTGCCCTGCCGTGCCGTGATGTGCCGTGCCTGCCCTGCCCTGCCGTGCCATGATACCATGGCATGCCGTTCGACCCCATGCCATGGTCTACTGCAGTGCGGTAGATAGAATTGACCGACTGCCCCAAGACTGCTTTCCGCACCCGCTATGGATTCGTCGAGTGCACTAGTGGGCACTGGGGACTCGAGTATGTCACGTGATGTGGTCTATGTCCCACCCGCATGGCGCATGCCATATGCTCCTCTCACTGTCTCACATCACACCACAACAGACAGAACCACTACGGAGCAACCAGAACAAGTGCCACTCACCCCCACCGTTTTTCCAGGATCCCTCTCCTCACGTTTTCAACCACACCACCCCCTCGCCCTTCCCGTTCCCCTCTCTCCCCCCTCCCTTTTTCCTTCCCTGCGCGCCCCCCCACCAGGTATCCCCATGACGTGCAGCAAGTGGTGCTGGGGCCGACAGGCGTCCTATCCGCTCTCAAACCAGGAGGCATTGTGAGACGCTGGGGCGAGGGCAGGGGGGGGGAAGGGGCGGGATGGGTTGGCATGGAGGGATTGACGTGGGTTTGAAGGGAAGTGTTTGGGCGCTGCGAAATATGTGGAAATCCGGACTTGAAAATCTGCATCAGCGAATTGGCATGGGCAAGTAGGCACGAGAAAATATCCATGGAAGAAAAGGCATGGACAAATCGCCGTGGCGTGTTGCAGCCAGGTCGTTCATACAACCTTGATTTCTCCCTTATCTGTCTTCCCTTGATTCTATCAATATCCTGTTTCCCCCGTTTCTTCCTGCTCGCGCACCCCTGCCCGCCCCGCTCTTACCCCCCCGGTCGTCCCACCAGCTGGTGGACATGAGCACGAGCCAGCCATCCCTGGCGAGAGAGATAGCAGCCGCAGCAGAGGCAAGGTGAGATGAGGGAAGATGAAGGGAGTTGAGGTGAGGTGAGGCGAGGCGAGGCGAGGTGAGGTGAGGTGAGGCAGGTGGGGAGGGGTGAATGGAACAATTGACGCCGCGCAATAGTCGACGACCCGTAACAAGGGCCTGAGAGCCTGAATTCATGGATGCTTCTACGCGTGCATGTGCGTACCTGCATGCGTGCGTGCGTGCATGTGTGCGTGCATGCAAGCGTGCATGATGGATGGAATGCGTGGTGAGCAGGCAGTGCTGGGCGGTGGATGCGCCGGTGTCAGGCGGGGACAAGGGCGCGCGCGAGGCAGCACTGGCGATAATGGCTGGGGGAGACGAGGCAGTGGTGCAGGCGCTGCAGCCTCTGCTGTCGTGCATGGGCAAGTGCACGTACATGGGGCCTGCTGGGGCCGGCCAGAGCTGCAAGATGGCCAACCAGGTACTCACGTATAAAGACACTTCTGCGATTTCTTACAAGTACACGACACGCCCGCTTGCCCTTTGCTCGCCCTCCTCCTTTTATGACTGTGTGGTGTCTGCCTCCTTTGGTCACTCCGTGGCCTGCTCGCAGCAAGGCCGGTGGTCTGTCCTGGTCTCACTTGAAGGCATTGGCGTGGCTGCTGCTGCTCCCCTTTCTCTCTTCTCCCCTGGTTTTTGCCTCGTTGCTTTCTCTTTCCGCGTTGCACATGTGCGCATGGGGAGCAGGTGACGATAGCGAGCACCATGGTGGGGCTGGTGGAGGGACTGCTGTACGCGCACAAGGCAGGCCTGCACATCCCCACGTGAGCCACGGAAATAGCTGCAGGGAGGGAGAGGCAGGGAGGGAGAGGCAGGAGAAGGGGACATGGGAGAATCTTGAGAGCTTGTGTGTGGTGTGTGTGTATGTGTGTGAGAAAGGGAGGGAAGGAGGGAGGGAATGAGTGGTGGATGGAGGTGTTACTCATGTGGGTGCAGACAAGTGAAGTTACTACCGCAGTGCCTTATGGAGTCAGCATTCTCACTGCTCAAGGTTTACCCTCCTGTCGTCCTCTCTTCCCTTCCATTCCCTCCCTCCGTCCGTCCGTCCCTCCCCCCGTCCCTCGCTCCCACTCTCTCCTTCCCCACCCCCCACTGCTCCCTCCTGTCCCAACTCATCCTCAGATATCTGGCTGCCATTTCAAAGGGAGCAGCAGGGTCGCGCTCTCTTGATCTCTACGCCTCGCGCATTCTCCAACGAGACCTCCTGCCAGGTGGTGACCCCATCACTCTCACTGCTTTGCTCCATCCAGGCCTACCATGCCACACCACGCCATGCCGTGCATTGCCATGTCATGCTGTGCCATGCCAGACCACGCCATCGGGATTCCTGTACATTTGAATCCAAGGATCTTGACCCCTCCCACCTTCCTCGTTTCACATAACCATAGAGTGTATGCTAGGTTTCCAGGTTCACGCGTGACTGGCTCATGCATCATCAGTTCGCTCATCCGCTCATCTTCCTATGCATGTCCACTTCATGGCATCAACGTGTGCGTAACACATGTGATTCCACATGGCCCATCCTGCAACCCCTTCCATTCGCCCGCCTGAGTACCGCACACAGGTTTCTTTGTGAAGCACTTTGTGAAGGACCTCGGGATTGCCGTTGAGGAGTGTAGGGCCATGAGCCTTTCCCTACCAGGCCTGGCGCTGGTAAACCCACTTGCTGCATCACCTGAGAATATCCTCGTTCCTGTGCCGATCTTGGTCACGATTGCTGTTTTTTGCCGATTCACTTTCACTATGTGGCTCATCCACCCTGACTTAAGAATCAACTTGTCTTTACGTTGTGTTGTGTTTCCATGTGAGTGTCTTTCAGGCGCAGCAGCTATATGTGTCGCTGCAGGCGCACGGAGATGGTGACCTGGGAACACAAGCCCTAGTGCTGGCTCTAGAACGGATAAACAATGTGCAGCTGCCCAAGGTTCCTCCCAGTTAGGGGGGTGTCTATGCCTGGTCTTCTGTCTTGGTGCAACAATTACTTGAGCATTCTCTATGAAAGCCCGTTGTTCATTTTCGTTCCCCTTGAGACACAACGCTCCTGGACAAGAAGCAACTTTGCTGGATGTGCTCTCGAAACATAGAACATCAGCATGTCAGAATTTGTGAGTGACTATATTGGATCTGATTGTGGCAGCTCAAATCTCGTCAATCCCAGAAACACTGCCCAAGAAGCTGGCCGTTACAGTGCGAAGCCTTCCAACACCACGAAAATATGTAACGCACCATCTCGAAAGTGCTATGGGGCAAACCACTGAAACGAAATCTGGGTCTCCGTCTGGTTCGTTTTACCGTACGCAGTGTATTGGGGCCCCTTCTGGTTTCAGCGGAAGTCCGTAAAATGGAGAAAAATTCCCACTGGCCCAGCCCACACTCCGCCGTACCCTGCAATATTTCTCGAGAGCACCACGAGGGGCAAACAGCGAGCCGCAGTGGGGTTGACTGCAGACTGGTCTGGTGAAGCCTCAAGCTGCCCGAAGAATTGCACGAAAGTTTTTGCCGCGCCATCATTCCTGGTTCCCTCCCTAGCGATACGATTGGCTGCGACCATCTCTTCATTGATACGAAGGTTGTGCCAACAATGTGACTACTCTGTCGGTGCACTCAAGAATTTACGCTGCCCTTCTCCATCAACGAAGGCTTGGCGAACACAGATGTTCACTGGCGAAAGCATCTTCGTGATGGCAACCTCCCCATCCCAACAACCCGCCAGCTTGGACCACCGTGTAACGCAGCACACCCACCATTCGCACAGTGCACTGCACAGGGAATGGAGCGACTGGCCAAACGGAAGCAAGCATGGCAGAGACAGGTGGTACTGCAGGGCGAACAAACACTCTGGGCCTGACAGTGGAACTGCACTAGCGCATTTCTTTCGACTGTCGTTCACCCCGCAAGCTCTCCAACGCTAGAGGAAGGTGTGTCTGTTCTAACGAGTTCCAGAGAAATACAGCATCCAGAGCGCGAAGGAGCCCTCATATTTCGAGTCCCGACGGATCGTCAATCCTGTGTCATGGCTCTAAGCCTGCAGCGTCGTTTCATCGTAACTCAATAGACACATGCACTAAATGCAAGGTTGTTGGAATTTAGTTACGGTTCAGATAATTATTCCATGTAGCACTCAATTTTGCCAGTGAATCACACCGCAACTTGCCCAGCGTGCACCCGGTGCCTTCGCCGTTCATTGCCGTTTTCCGTCTGTTAAACTCGGAACGACCCGCCATGGCTGTTCGCTGCTTCGGTCCCGTCTTTCGAGGGTGAGCTCTCGCGGACCGAGAGAGACGGTTGCATTTTTCCATGGATGCGAGGGTTTGGGTGTGGTTGCATGGATGCATGAATATGAATATTTTTTCATCCATCTTCTTCGACCCATCCCTCCGCACCTCCTCCCCCATGCCCACCTCTCCCTTTCCCCACACACGGCCTTTTCTCGACTATCCCTCACGCGGATTCCCGTTTCCTCCGCCCTCCCTTCCTTCCCCATTCTCCCCATCTCGGCTCCTCTCCCCGCTCCTTCTTCTCCCCCCTCCCCTCCTCCTACCCCCATCCCGCTATCTCGTCGTCGCGTTGACTCCAGCGGTCAACATCCGTTTTTACCGGCCGCTCCATTCGACGACGATGGCGTGGATGATACCGCCACCAATAAATCCCGCCACAGCACCAACAATAAAGGCCAGCCCGCGCCCGCGTTTGCCGCCGCCCGAGCAGGCGAAGATGGATCCGCGCTAGGAACGGCAGAACCGCCTTCCGCGCTTCCGCCTCCCCCACCTCCTCCCCCTCCGCCCCCGCCCCCACCGTCTGCTCCCCCTCCCCCTCCCCCTCCGCCTCCGCCACGCGCGCCTCCCCCTCCCCCTCCCCCACCCCCGCCTGGCCCGTACTCCGCGAGCGGCCTAACCACTCCGCGCTCGTCGTTCCGCCGCGCGCGGTCGATCAAGGAGCGGCGGGAAGCGGTGGCGCTGAAGGTGTTTCACTGGAGCAAGGTGCACGACACCAAGGGCACCATCTGGGACGAGCTCTCTAAAGACGCTGACCTCTTCTCGCGCGTGCAAGTAGACGGGCCTAAACTCGAGGCGCTCCAGGTGTTATTTAAAGCCAAGGAGACTAAGGTTAAGATTGGGGCGGGGGGGGTGGCGGGTGCGGGGAAGAACGGGCTTGGAGGGGTGTTGGGGAGGGGAAGGGGTGGCGGAGGGCAGGGGGATGCGGGGGAAGGGGGGGATGGCGGAGTGGGGAAGGAGGGGGAGGCGAAGGGTGTGGTGAAGGTGGTGACACTAACGAGGGCGAATAATGTGGCTATAACGCTGGCGCAGTTCCGCATGGCTCATGAGGCGATAAGAGACGCCATCCTGCTGGGCAACCCCGGAGGCGCTCTCTCCCTGGACCAACTCGCTCTCATCACCCAGGTACGTGTGGTGTGTCAGTAGTACTACCCGCCATGCCTTGCTGCAGCCACCGCGGCAGCAGCACCACCAGCAGCACCGCCACCAGCACCACTGCCTGCACTAGCAACAGCGCCAGCAGCACGAGTAGCAGCAGCGGCAGCGCCGCCTTCACCACCACTACTACCCCACAACAATTCCTCACTTCATCCCATCCCTATTCCCCCTTGCTTCATCCCATCCCATCCCATCCCATCCCATCCCATCCCATCCCATCCCATCCCATCCCATCCCATCCCATCCCTCTCTTTCACTTGCTCCATGGTGGTGTCACCTTCCTTCCCCCTCTCTGTGCCGCCCGTCAGGTGATTCCATCAGAGGGCGAGGCACAGCAGCTGCTGGCGTACACGGAGAGCCGCCCCCTGGAGAACCTATCAGCCCCTGAGAGGTTCCTGCATGCGCTCGCTACCATTTCCCGCCTGAGAGATAAGATCAACGTGCGCACCATGCGTGAGGAGCTAGGGTTTGGAATGGAAGGGGGGGAATGGGAAGGGAGGGGGGATGAAGGGGAGCGAGGGGGACCAGGGGAGCGAGGGGGAGTGGGGACGGATCGCAGTAGTATATGCAGATGTTGTTGCTACCTCTCTTGTCATGCACCATTTGTAGCCATGCTTCTCTCAGACTTTCCCCCTTTCCCTCCCCAACTTCCCTGTAATCTCACATGCCCCTTTCGCTATCCTTTCCCTGAGACCTCTCCCTCTCCCTTCCCTTCCCTTCCCTTCCCGATTCCCCATTCCCCATTCCCCCCTCCCGTCCCCCCGCCCCTTCCGCCGGACAATGCGGCATCAGGCGTGGGTGTTCATGCAGCGCTGCACGGACATGGTGGCAGACACACAGCGCCTCATCCACACCTTCTCCTCCCAAGCTCCCTAAAATCTTCCATGCCCCCTTCTCTACCCCTTCCCTGGTAACTCTTCCTCTCCCTTCCCCATTCTCCACATCCCCCTTCCCCCTCTCGCTCTTCCCCATTCCCCCCTCCCGTCCCCCCGCCGCTTCCGTTGGGGATGCAATGCAACGTGGCATCAGGCGTGGGTGTTCATGCAGCGCTGCACGGACATGGTGGCAGACACACAGCGCCTCATCCACACCTTCCAGCGCGCCTGCCACCAGGTCAGCGCAGTGCAGCGCACACAGCGGTGCCCAGCGGTACACAGTGGTGATGTGGGTGGGGGTATGGTGGGGGAGCAGTAGGGGGGTTGGTGCTGGGGGAGGGAGAGGGAATCAGGAGAGTGTATTAACGGCCATCTATCTGCATGTCTGCGTGTCCGTGTGTGTGTGTGTGTGTGTGTGTGTGTGTGTGTGTGTGTGTGTGTGTCCGTGTGGGTGTGTGTGTGTGTGTGTGTGTCCGTGTGTGTGTGTGTGTGTGTGTCCGTGTGTGTGTGTGTGTGGGTGTGTGTGTGTGTGTGTGTGTGTGTGTGTGTGCGACCAGGTGAGGGAGTGCAAGCCGCTGAGGGCAGCCATGGCAGCAGCGCTGCAGGCAGGCAACGAGCTCAACTACGGCAGTACCAAAGGTCCGTCCACTGCGCTTCACTATTCTCAAACCTGACATAGCCGCTCGCAATTCGCAACTCGCAACTCGCCACTCCCCTTGTCATCTCTCTCTTCCTCTTATCAGACTTTCTGTCCACCTCTCCCTCTTCCCTCCAAACCTGCCACCCTTCCCTCCCTTGCTCACAGCCGGCGCCCTGGGTTTCAGCATAGAGACGCTACCAAAGCTGGCCGACCATCGGGTCACCCTCTCAGCGCCACCAGCGCCATCACCCCACCCTCCCACCGACCTCTCATCTGGCTTCCGCGCTCCACCGCTACCTCCTCCTGCCACTGCTGCCTCTCCTGCCACTGCTGCTGCGGCTCCTGCTGCGGGGGCGACAGCGCCAGGTCTTCCCCCGCTCCATCATACTCCCTACTCCTGCCGGAGCTCGTCTCTCCCAGCTGCCCCAGGGCCCTTATCAGCAATGAAAAGTTCCAGCAGTGTAGTCGCTTCTGGTATTTCCGCTTCTGCTGCCCACACTGCTGCGCTGCTGCCTGGGTCAAGAAGCACAGGTGCTCGCATCCCTGTGGACACAGCAACGGCTGGCAGCAACCCTACCTCCTACGGCGGTGGTGGTGGTGGCACAAGCATTGTGAGTACGAGCATGGGTAATGCAACTGGCAGCAGCACGGGCAGCAGGATGGAAGGGCGGCAGGTGAAACGAGCCATGCTACAGGCCACCAGCCTGCTAGACGTAGTAGCTGTGCTAGTCATGACAGGCGGAGCGGTGCAGAGCGGTACGGAGATGTCCAAGGCTCTGGATGCCGTTGCTGCTGCTGCGAGGGTTCCTCTAGAGGAGATTCAGAAGAGCCTGGGGGGTGTGGATGAGGGGATTACCACAGTGGAAAAGGAGCTAGCGTTTGTTATCAGTGAGGAAGAGGCGAAGGAGGCTGCTGCTGCTGCCGCTGAAGCAGCGCTCTTGGAGGGAGAAGGAGGGAGTGAGGAGGGAGAGGAGGAGCAGGAGGAGGAGGAGGAGCAAGAGGTAGTGGAGAAAGGAGGTGAGGAGGTTAGCTGTGGTGGAGGTGAGGGGGGAGAGGGTGAAGGTGCTGGTGTTGACACGCAAGGTAGTGGGAAAGAGAGAGGGGGTTCAGGGGAGCAGAACGGATCAGGCGAGGAAGAGGAGGGAGCGTTGCTGTTGCAGAGCATGAGGGGGAGGAGTGACAGGGAGGAAGCCGGGACTCCAGACGGTTCCACCTGTGCTGTCACCTGCTGGGGCCCTCTGCGGGCTAGATCAGGCCGGGGTAAAAGACGAGGGATAGGGGGAGAGGGAGAGGGGGAGAAAGGCGGGAGGAAGGAGAGGGTTGGGTGGCGAGGGAGTGCTAGGCGGTTGGGGAGAGAGTGGGAGGAGTGGGGGAAGATGGAGCGACCTGCGGTGCGAGGGAAGGAGGTGGGTGGGAAGAAGAGGATGGGAGGGGAGAGAGAGGGGAAGAAGAGTGGGAAAAGGAGGGAAGGAAGAAAGGGAGGGGGAGGGGAAGGAGGTGGTGGGCGAAATGAGGAGGAGGGAGAGGAGGGCGTTGGGCACGAGCCAGGTGGGGAGACGGGAAGCAGGGTTGGAGATGGAAACACAGTGCCAAACCCTTCTTCTGCTGCCGCTCCCCTTGCTGCTGCTGCCCCTGCTGCCCCTGCTGCTGCTGCTGCTGCTGCTGCCCCTGCTGCTGCCATGCCATCTCCTGCACATGCCACAGCTGCTTCACGTGACTCAAACACAGACACAAACCCAGGAGGGGAGGAGGCGAAGCATTATCCTGACGGTGCGGGCATTGCCTCCACTCCCACGGCTGGCATCGGGGCCTCCTTCTCAGATAATATCAGAGCAGGCGTGAAGCTCAGGAGCGTTCCCCCCACGCCCCGAGGAACAGGGCCAGGTGGGAGGAGGTCTGTTCCCCCCACGCCTAGAGGAATTGCAGCAGGCGGGGGGAGGAGTGTTCCCCCCACGCCCAGAGGGGTCGGAGGTGCAGGGGGGGGGAGGAGCGTTCCCCCCACACCCCGCACGCCGGCAGTGGAGCATTCAGGGAGGCTAAAGGGTTCTGTTCCTCCTGCCACGCCTAGCACGAAAAGTGCGGCTCTCCCTCCCCGCCCTGCACCTGCTTCTGCTGCTGCTTCTGCCGGTTCAGCTTCTGCTGTTCGTGCTGGCGCTGCTGCTGCTTCTGTTGCTGCTGCTGCTGGTGCTGCTGCAGCAGCATTGCCATCTGCTGTTGTGGCATCAGCAGGAGCAGTGCCAGTGCCTCCATGTGGAAGCGGATTTGAAGCACCAGCTGCAGCAACAGCAGCAACAACAGTAGCAGCAACACCAGTGCTCTCAGCAGCAGCAGAACCATCAATAGCAGGCGGGGCAGAGGCAGCACCGTCAAGAGCAGCAGCAGGAGCACCACCACCACAACAGCAAGTGCACCGAGCTGCCACCACAGGAGCAGCCATAGCAGCACGGAGTCAGGAGGAGCAAGGCCCGGCACGGCCACCACTGAGACGTGCCACTTCCGCTTACGAGTCAGGCCCTGGTGATTCCAATCACGACGATCCTGCTGGGGGGGGTTGCACAGGGGACGGCGGCAGAGGCAGAGGCGGAAGGGGGGCGGGCGCAGGGGGGAGAGGGAGGGGCGGAGTGACTGGGTACAGATGGGTGACGAGGTTTGGGGCGAGGAAGGGCATTGCGATGGCGGTGGTGGGAAGACCGGTGCCGATTGCTGGGGTTGCGAGTGATGATGGGGAGGCTCGTGCTGGTGCTGCGAGGGGGAGGGGCACCGCACGGGGAGGAGGGCTCAGGGAGGCTGGAAATAGAGGAGGAGGTGGTAAAGGGGTTGGGAGAGAGGGAGGGGAGGGTGGAGGAGGGGGGTTGGATGGTGGTATGGGTGGTGGTGGTGGTGGTGGGGGTTGTGATGGACGGAAGTTGACGTTAGGGGAGATGGTTGCAGCTAGGATGCACCGTCGGGCGATGAGTGACATGGGTAGCTGGTCCAGCCGCGACAGGGCTGTTGCTGCTGCTGCTGCTGCTGCTGATGGTGATGGTGATGATGATGGGGGGGGTGATGGTGGTGTTGGTGATGGGAGAAGAAAAGAACGGGAGGTGGAGGAGCCACGGAGGGGTGATCAGGAGTTGAGGAGGAAGGAGGAGATGGAGGGGGAGGAGGAGGGTGAGGAAAAGGAGGAGGAAGAGGAGGAAGAGGAGGAAGAGGAGGAAGAGGAGGAGGAGGAAGAAGAGGAGGAGGAGGAAGAAGAGGAGGAGGAGGAGGAGGAAGAGGAGGAGGAGGAGGAGCACATGAATGCATCAGTCTTTGTGCGGCAGGAGCGGCTGCCAAGCAGAGGACGGGTGGGTTCGCCCTCTCTCCCGCCTCCTTCCTCCTCCTCCTCCTCCTCCTCCTCCTCCTCCTCCTCCTCCTCCTCCTCCTCCTCCTCCTCCTCCTCCTCCTCCTCCTCCTCCTCCTCCTCCTCCTCCTCCTCCTCCTCCTCCTCCTCCTCCTCCTCCTCCTCCTCCTCCACCGCTCACAGCAGCACCCACACCCCCGACGTGTTCACATGCAGACAACGAAGCGTGCCTGGTGGCAGTGAGAGTGATAGTGATGCTGACGCTGCTGCTGCTGATGATGATCATGGTGATCACGTGCGGAAGGACAGAGTTGGACTGAATCGGGTTTCAGAGAGTGATTCACGCAAGTGCATGGCGTTCAAGCGGAGCCCTCTGAACGGAGTGATTGCCGCAACCCCTCGCACGCAGCAGGTGTGGACCGAGCAGCACAGAAGCACGCTCCACACTCCCACCAACCTTCCCACTGCGGCTCCACTCTCCCACCCCCACGCTCCCGCCCTCTCTCATGCTGCTCATGCGGCCGCAGGCGCCGCACTGGCAGGTGCAGAGCGAAAGGAGGAGGAGGAGAATGAGGAGGAGGAGGAGGAAGAAGAAATAGAGGAAGAGTTGGAGGGGAAAGAGTGGAGGGTGTATGACGAGGTAGCGGCGTGGCAGGAATGGCGCAGGAGCAGAGGAGAGGAGTCCGGGGACGAGGGTGACGTGAGTGGCAACATCGGACTCGGTGCATACCATTTTCTCAAGGCCCAGTCCACAGGCAATATCAGGGTTACCTCTGCGGGCAGTGATACCCTTGCATCTAACACAACCACACCAGCATTTCTGCACAGTCAAAGCGCACACATGGGGGGTTCTAGGTCTGTGAGTGGAGGAGTGTCAACTGGAAGCCTACATGGGAATGGAAAGGTTTCCGTGATTCGATCAGGCTCAGGATCTGGTGGTGGGGTTTCCAGCTTTCCACCCTCCGCTGCAGCGCTCTCTGCAGCAGGTTCGGATTGCGACAGGGCAGGTGGGTCGCTCTATAGGGGGTACAGCGGGGGCGAGATGAGCGATGCGGCAGCAGCAGTGGAGAGGAGCATGCGGAGGGAAGCAGCAGCGGCGGTCGCAGCAGCAGCGGTGGCTGCAGCAACAGGGGTACGAGGCTCCACGAGCTTGCGACCCCGGCCGTCTCCCCGCGTGTCTGGCCGGAACAGCAAGGCGGCAGGGCGGGCAGCTGTGGAGAGAGAGTTCGAGCGGGAGAGGGCAGGGAGGCGGAGGAGGGGAGAGGCGGGGCGAGAATCCGACGATGCGTTTGGGTTTGAGGAGTTGCAGAGGAGGAGGATGCATGCGGAGGGGGGGGTGATGATGCAGGGGAGGTATGCCGTATCGGGTGCAGTGGGTGTATCGCGAGCGTCGGCTGTGCGGGTCGCGTACGGGTGCCATGGGGGGGGACCTGTGGCTGAGTTGGCACGGAGAGAAGCCCTGGAGGGGTTTCCCAGGTGCCAGAGCGAACCTGGTAAGGCGTGTGGGGAACAGGCGGGGCGAGGGGAGCACGGGGAGGAGGACGGAGGAGAGGGGATGGTTTGGGATGGGTTGGATGGGAGCAAGAAGGAGGAGGATTATTTCGCGTTTGAAGACGAGGGGGTGCGTGGGAAGGGTTGGGGTTTGGATGGTGGAGGGAGGGGTGAGGGCAGAGAGGGTTGCGAGGCGGAGGGGTTTGGTAGTGGTGGCAGCGGCACTACCACCATCAGCACTAGCAGCTGTGGCACTGGTAACAGCAACAGCAGCAGTAGTACCAGCGGCAGCTGCAGCATTCCCAGGAGCTGTCCCAGCAGCAACAGCCCAGGCGCACCCAAGGGGATACCATCTGTTGCGTATCCTCCCCGGGGTGTGTCTCCTCCTCCGGGTGTGCTGCCAGAAGGGAGTGAGGAAGCACTGAGAGGGCCGAAGCCTGCAATCCGAGGGCTGTATGTGAAAGACGTGGTGAGCAAGTGGGAAGGGGGAGCGGGCGGGGGAGGGGGAGGGAGGATTGATGAGAGCGACTGGGAGACTGGGGAGGTGGATGAAGCGGAGAGTGAGAGGGAGAGGCAGAGGAGGACGATGTTCCAGAGAGGGGGAGGGTGGATGAGGCAAGGGGGGGAGGGTGAGGGGGCTGGGAGTGGTGATTGTCATGCAGGTAGCGGCGTGGGGCGGGTGCGTGAAAGCCGTGGGCAGCTTGGGAGTGGGAGCAGAGGTGGATATAAGGAGGCCGAAGATTATGGGAGTTCTCAAAAAGTGAACGGTCGTGCCTGTGGGGCGGCAGCAGGGGTGGAGGGTGTTGATGACGCTGCTGACAGCCATGGCAGTGCTTGTGGCGATGCTCATGTGTCTGCTGAAACTAACAGTGGTGCTTCAGCTTCTCCTGAGCCTGATTGTGCTTGTGGTGTGGGGGAGGAACCCAATGATGGTAATGGTTATGACAATGGGGATGATGATGGTGATGATTACGCTGGTGTGCCAGTGTCTGCTGCTGCATGGCAGTGGGAGCTCTCTCTCTCGGACCGTCTAACGCAGTTTCTAGACAGGGCAAGGGCGAAGAGAGAGGGGCTGGTGCGGCAAATGGATGAGAGCAAGCAGCAATTCCAGCAGCTTGCAACGTTTCTGGGAGAGCCCCCCTCAGCTACTCCCCAGGTGTGTGTTTGCTGCACGTCAACTCTAAATACGCACCAGCTGTTTTTCCATGCATGGTTTCGTTCTGCCATTATGTTCTGTGATTTTGCGAACCTTGCGGTGAGTTTCCACTGAATGAGTGCTTCTACTGTGCTGTGGCCGGCTGCTGTTCTGTGTGCTGCTCTGTGCAGGCGATCTTTGGGGCACTGGCTCGGTTTGCAGAGGCGTTTGATAAGAGCCAACGGGCCGTTGGCCTTCTGTAACGCTGTGCCGTGCAGCGCAGTGCAATCTGCAGCATGTGGTTCTGTGTGTGCCAGCCACACCCACATGCCAAATCTAGTTCTCTCAAATCCTTACCTGAGTATCTATCTGTGCCAAAGTGTCTCCACATTGACTTCAGAGCTGCAAGGTACAGTGCTGTAGATAATTCTTGCCAGTTGTTGCAACAATCTGCCCTTCTGCTGCGGGGCACGTTGGCACTACTACCGTATGCCTTGATGTCTCAAGGGAGCTTGGCCTGCCTTCTTTCTCCACAAATCCACTCGTTTAATTACTGTAGTTGAGGAAAACGGACATAGCACAAAGAAGCTGTTAGACTGATTTGATTTACAAAACTTGTACACATATGCACATCCACTGGTTTAGATTCGACAAGAAAGCCACTCGTCCTAAAAAATCCCCCGATAGAATGTTCGAGGCCCTTCGCGGTTGGCCGTACCGATAGTTCACCCCCTCGCCCACACCCTTCCTGAATCTTCCCCCACTCCTCCTTGGGATTGCTACAGTTCTAGTAACCTGACCTGTACCCTTTCCACTCTAGTCCAGAGGACACTCTCAAGGCAGAGAGGTTGCTGCATCCGCCAGCATGCGCCTTCTCCGCCCGGCCTTCTCCTTCCATGGCATCGCTGGTGGCGTCCCATCGCAGTGGATACATCAGCTTGAGAACGCGGTCCGTGGACTCTACTATTTGAACGACCAGGCGTCTCAGTCGAACGTTTTTAAGTACAGCTGAATCCTCGCCGTCAGCTCGTTTCTCCGAGCCGCTTTCTTAAACCTGCCCGTTGTTCTCGACAACTTCGAGAGATTTTTCTCTAAAGAAGGAGGAATAGACTAAAGGAACGAGCTGCCGTTATGGCTAGCCCGACTCGGCTCATCGGCGCGCCACTCACCAACCCTACAACCTCTCCCCTTCGCGAAGCCCCTTTTCCCTCCGCCGCCAACTTTCCCTCCGGTGCGCAGTCGGCGCAGCCCGCCCCGCCTTCCTACGCCACCGCGGCGGCGTGCGCCCCTTTCCCCTTGGCTCCCCCCGCGCACGCGCTAGCGGCGGCCGCGGAAACGCTTCCCCGCATGGCAATTGGCGCTGCGGCGCCACTTGGTTGGGCAGGCGCAGCCTGCGCCGGGGCTGACGCGCTCAGGCTGGGATGTAAGCGCAAGGGAGGCGCATGGATGGGGGGAGACGGAGGAGCAGGAGGAACGGCCGTTGGGATTCCGGGAGTTGGTGCGGCGGGCAGGGGGAGCGCAAGGGGGATGGATGGAGTGGTGATTGGGATGGGGATTGATTCCATGGCAGACATGGCGGAGTTGGGGATTCCAGCAAAACGGGCGAGACTGCAGGTCAGTGCACTTGCAAAGCAACTCCATCAGGCCATCTCGTTACGCTGTTATTTCAAACTCGTTTCTTTGAGCACGGTCCTTTCGGGGTTTTGCATCTCTCGCCGTGGCACCAGTGGCGATTAGCAGCACCGATATTTGTCAGGTTGTGCTGTTCTATCGATCGAACCCGTCGTCTCTTTTCACTTATCCCTCACGAGTCTCCTCTCGTCTCTTTTCCTCCCATCTTCCCTGCCGCATCCCTCGCCCATTGCCCCCCCTTCGCAGCCTCCAGAGCCTCTAATACCACCATCAGCACCAGCGGACCCTGCGTACGCAGTCTCCGCTCTACCAACCGCATCGAATCCTTTTGCACCTCCCTCCATCTCTCCTACCTCCGCCTCTCCATCCTCCCCAGTCCTCCGCGCCCTAACCCCTCCTCCGTCACCCCCTCTCTCGCCTACATCAATGCAAGCCTCCGCTTTCCTCTCCACCCCACTCACTGCTGCCGCACCTACTGCAGCGCCACCCACCCTGTCTGCCGCTCCTGTTGCATCGGTCGCTGCTGCCATTCCAAGCAGCTACAGTGCCGTTGCTCCCATCGCTGCTTCTGCCCCTACCTCTCCTCCACCTTTCCAGGGCGCATGCTCTATGGACACAATTTCTGGATCCCCCCACCCGCCACTGCACGCACAACTCTGTGCCCCAATACCACCCACTGCACCACCCTTTCCCCAACAAGAAACAGGCAATGAGAAAGCCATTGTGCTGTACTCCCCTCCTGTCATCCCCTCTCTCTCCACGGAGCCTTCTGCCACTGGCGCAGGTGCTGCTGGTGCTGGGAGAAGAGCAGAGCGGGAAGCCATGGCAGGAGCATCAGCGTCACTCGCGGCACGGGCAGCAATGCAGCAGTGGCCGATAGAGAAGCTCAAGGCGGCATGGGGGGGGGCTAGCCCAGTGGAGAAAAGGGTGCTTGGGGGCATGATTGGGTCGTTGCTGCAGGGCCAACCGATTCAGATCCTGGGAGGGAACAAGCTGCTGGAAGGTACAATTGCCTGAGCCTTGGCTAGCTGTGTGCTGAGGCTCTGCATGTATGCTGGTTGTTAGGGAAGGGGATAGATTTTGAAACTGTGCCTTCCACCCCTATTTTGATTATTCGTGTCGTCTGGTTATCTGGTTTCTGCTGTCATTTGCTCTGCGTCCTGTCCATACTCGTGTTTCCCTCTCTGAATGCGCTCTCCGTCCGCCTGCATTCCACTCTGCTTTCCCATCTGGCAGCCCTTCAGCTGCATCCACCTAGTGTTGTGGGTGGTGGATTGGAAGACGCCGAAGAGTTGAAAGCGCAGGCAGAGGGTGGAGAGGAGGACATAGAAGAGGAGGTGGAGCAAGCAGAGCAGCAACCAGACTCGTTGATGGCAACAGCAGATGCCATGAACCTGGAGCAGCAGAAGATGGTCAGCAGCAGCAGCTCTTATGAGGGAAACAATGGGGAGGACGTGGAGATGGTTGAATGATGGATTGTGTGAGTGAGACAAGTGTTACCACTGTATTCTTCCTTTTTGAGTAGATGTGTGAGTTACAGCCTTGTTGTCTCATCTTTGGATGTACGGTTTTTGTATGTCCAATGGAACGATGGGGTGAACAAGGCTACCATTACCGGTAAAGATTCTGTGTCATCGTTATGAGCTCATCACATAGGTAACCTGTATAAGGTGTTCCACATTTACCGTTTACCAAGTCCAAGACGGCTTTGGTGACGCTCAAGTGTGGTTTAGGTGTAACCAAGTCAGTACTCAGGGCGTCCAACTGAAAGATTGTATTGCAGCACCATATTCATTGTGCACATTCAAAGGATAGTACAGTGAGTCGATTAAATAACAGGCACACTGTACTACCAACCGGTAGATCCCTCATTCCCTACAGAAAGAATTAACTTGGATCCCTACAATCGGTCATACAGTATTTGAGTGAGCATGCAGTGGCACATCCTCCACCACCCCCCCCAACTACTTGACACATCATACTTGCTCTCCACATGCCATGGCACACACGAGGGGCAGCTGCAATGGGTAAAGGCGCTGTGCTACTCTTACCACCCCCACCACACTCCACACTCCTCACCCCCCCGCTCCAACACCTCTGCCCCCTACGAGCCGCTCACCATCCTGCTCGCCCTCCACCTGCTCCTCCAGCCCTCCTCACCGCCCCCCCCTCCTCCCCTCCATGCCACCACTTATGCCCCGGGCCACACACCTTGAGAAGCAAACGCGCCTCCACACTGCTTCTAGTACCATTCGAAACGGCTCATCCCTCAAGTCCTCTTGAAACGGTTCACATGCCCTCCCGCATAGCCTCTCAACCACGAAATGACTTGCCCTTATGCCATAGCAGGGCTGCCATTGCCCTTATGTCATGGCAGTGGCCTCATCCATCCCCTGAAAAAAATGGCTTCAGCACCCTTCTTTAGAACACACAACACACTCAGAACACACAACACATTCAGAACACACAACACATTAAAAAAACACAACACATTTAGAAAACACAACACAACACAACACATTCAGAACACACCACACATTCAGAACACCAACACATACAGAAAACACAACACATCGTCCGCACCATTGCCCCTCCCTCAGCTCTCCCTGGGGTTTCAACCCCCAATTCTCCTCGCCCTCTCACTTTACTAACCCTGACGGATTCAGGCCCCCACCATTGCCCCCCAACTCAACTCACACAGGAATTTCATCCTCCCTTTCTCCTTGCCCTCTCCCTCCACTTACCTTGGGGGATTCAGGACCCTCACCCAACTCACCCTGAGCTTTTGTTTCAGCCCCCCATTCCCCTTGCCCTCTCACTCCACTTATCCTGGAAGATTCAGGCCCCCATCATTCCTCCTCACTCAACCCACCCTGGGGTTTCAACCCCCCTTCCTCCTCGCCCTCTCACTCCACTTACCCTGGGGGATTCAGGCCCCCACCATTGCCACCAACTCAACATCCAAGGGGTTTCAGGCCACACTCACCCACCAAGGGGTTTTAAGCCACCTTCTCTCACTCACCCCCCCAGCCCATCTCACCTTCACCTGCCAGCAGTAGGAGCAGAAAAGAGCCACACAGCCAACCCCAACCCACAGCACCTATCCACACACCCAACAACCTATCCCCACCCACCCATACCCCACCCAACAACCTCACCCCTCGCCCCTTTCCCACTCACTCACCCATCCTAGGGGACTCAGCCCCTTTCCCCTTACTCACCCACTCTAGGGGACTCAGCCCCTTTCCCCTCACTCACCCACCCTAGGGGACTCAGCCCCTTTCCCCTCACTCACCCACCCTAGGGGACTCAGCCCCTTTCCCCTCACTCACCCACCCTAGGGGACTCAGCCCCTTTCCCTCTCACTCACCCACCCAAGGGCTTTCAGGCCCAACTCACCCACCCAAGGGGTTTAAGCCCCCTTCTCTCTCACTCACCCACCCAACCCATCTCACCTTCACCTGCCAGCAGTAGGAGCAGCAGAGAGCTCACTTTCTCAAGGAAACAACACCCCCAGAGGCGGTGCCTTGTGGGGAGAGGTGCGGTAGTGGAAAATTGCTTCGAGCCCAAGACCCAAATCCCACCCCTGACGTAGCTAGAGCTGACGCGAACCAGAGCCGCCGGCCGGTCGGCTCTGACGGTGTCCATTAGGCCTTGCACGCCAGATCGGTTACTTGAGCACCGAGTGCCGTGCCGCACAATTCCACCCACCACACCCCACCACCACAAGACACAACCCCAGGTGATGCTGCCCCTAAGGAGTGAACTCCCCCGCTTGCTCCCATGCTCCCCACCCACCCACCCCACTTCACCCCCATGCCTACTCACCTGTACCTACCACAGCCGTGCAGAGCGCCATGATGCTGAGGCTGCTGGGAAGTGGAGAGAAAAGAGGGGATTAGGGGAGGGAGAGACTTCTCTGTGGTCCAGGCCGGGTGCTGCTGGGAGGGAAGGGAGACGGGAGAGAGGAGGAGGTGAGTGAGAAGGTGGACTCCACTCTCCCGCCCTTGCTCCAGTGCTCCCACCTTCAGCCTGCAAGAGAGAAGAGGGGGAAGAGAGAGAGGGGGGATCAGATTACCATACCTGACCTGTTACCATACCAAACCTGGTACCATACCTCACCTGGTACCATACCTCACCCGCAGCTACATCTAGCCTAGCCTAGCCCCCCTTCTCCCACTGCTGCTACTGCTGCTTCCGCTTCTGCTGCTGAAACTGCTGCTCTCGGTCTGCTACTCTGCTTCCCCTGATGCTGCTGCTGTCCCTCCCCTCCCCTCCGCTGCTGCCCTGCTGCTGCCCCCGTGCTGCCCTGCTACAGCCTTCAATGTACTGGGAGGGAGGGAGCAAGGCAGGGGTAGGCAGGGGATCAAGGGACAGCAGTGAGAATGGGCAGAAGAGTAGGCAGAAGCTACAAGGAAGGGAGGGAGAAAAAACGGGAAGTAAGCATGGGGAGAAGAACAAGAAGCAGCATGAGTGAACGAAAAGAGGCTCACCATGTTCCAGACGACCCCATCCCGATACTCTCCCATCCCATCCCAGCCGAGTGGAGTGCTGCCTCCCTCCCCTCCCACCACTGCCACCTGCACGGCCACAAGGGGAGGGGTGCGGAAGAGTGGCGGTGTTGACCCCTACGCCCCTCCCCTCCACCTGCATGGAGAGAACTGAAGACACGTGAGCAAGCGGCTAGGGGTAACAATGTGAAGGTTGTGCATGGGCGAGCTGGCGTGGGGTGGGGTGGCAGGCAACAGCAGGAAAGGGGGCCACTGGTGCAGCTTCAGCTACAAGCCACAGACTCAAAGGGAGGCTTAACCTGAGAGGATACTTGTACCAGGGGTGGTTTACCAAAAAAAAGGGGTCTGTGGCTTGAAGTTGTAGCACGACCAGAGACTCAGGTTTGAAGGGAGGTTCAGGTCTCTTGGGTGTGACAGAGGGCAGCACATGAATAGAGAGAAAGGGCGGGGTACTTAGCTGTGGGTTGTTTGGGTGAAGAGCAGCTGCTGCCTGTGCACTCCATGTCCCCCGCCACTGCAACTCCCGTGTGAGCGACCTGCTGGGTGGGACCAGAAGAGGGCAGATCGGCACAGAGGGAAAAAGGGAGGAGGGGGGGAGGAAAACGGGGGGGTGAAGGGGGGGCAGAGGAGTGGAGAGCGCAGAGAGAAAAGAAGCCAAGACAAGTGAAAGTGAAGAGTGCAGCTAGCGCAAGCATGATGCGTGCATGAATGGACAGCTGCAGTGGCACACCCAAGAGACCTCGTACCAGCTGAACCAAACTAAAACGTATACCTGAGGTTGTACCAAGAAAAAAATACCTATTACCTTGGGGGAGGGAGGATTAATGGGTGTGACAATGAGCAGTGAAAAATGGAGTGTAATGCATGGTGCAAGCATGACAAGCAAAGCAACAGAGTGCGAGGGTTGGGAGAAGAGAGGAAGGGCGAGGTACTTAGCTGTGGGTGAGTTGGGTAGAAAGCAGCTGCTGCCTGTGCACTGTCCCCCGCCACTGCCACTCCCCTGTGAGCGACCTGCTGGGACCAGAGGGGGGCAGATCGGGACAGAGAGAGAAAAGGGAGGAGAAGGGGGAGAAAAAGGGAAGTGAAGGGGGCGCAGAGGAGTGGGGAGAGCAGTGAGGAAAGAAGCCAAGACAAGTGACAGTGAAAAGCGCAGCAAGCGCAAGCATGATGCGTGCATGAGTGGACTGCTGCAGTGGCACACCCAAGAGACCTCGTACCAGCTGAACCAAAGTCAAATGAGTACCTGAGGCTGTACCAAAAGACAAAATACCTGCTACCTTGGGGGAGGGAGGTCTCATGGGTGCGACAGAAAGCAGCAAAGAAAAGTTTAATGCATGGTGCAAGCAAGACATGAAATGCAGCACGGAGTGAGGGTTGGGAGAAGAGAGGCAGGGCGGGGTACTTAGCTGTGGTTGCGTTGGGTGGAGAGCAGCTGCTGCCTGTGCACTCCATGTCCCCCGCTACTGCCACTCCATGAGCGACCTGCTGGGTCGAGAAAGGGCAGATCGGGACAGAGAGAGGAAAGGAGGAGGGCGGGGGGGGAAACGGGGGAGTGAAGGGGGAGCAATGAGGAGAGAAGCGAAGACGAGAGAAGTGAATTGAGAGCAAAGAGTTCAGCAAGTGCAATATTAATGCGCGCATGAATGGACTGCTGCAGTGGCACACCCAAGAGACCTCGTACCAGCTGAACCAAACTGAGGCTTTACCAAGAAAAAAGATACCTGCTACCTCGGGGGTGGGAGGTCTCATGGGTGTGACAAAGGGCAGTGAAAAAAGGAGTGTGATGCATGGTGCAAGCACGACAGGAAAAGCAACAGCAGAGTGGAGGGAGGAGAAGGCACTTAGCTGACGGTTGAAGTAGCACCGAGAGCTGCTGCAACTGCCGCAGCTGCTGCTCACCCCCACGCCAACGGGAAGCCCATCCGTGCAACCTTTTGCCATGCGACCAACGACGGTTTCGCCGTGCGACCACGCACAGGCGACGATTTCGCCGTGCCTCGACGCACGGACAACGATTTCGCCATGGGGCGACGCGCGGACGACGGTATCACCATGCGACAACGCGCAGCGGGGTAGGCGTGTAGACGACGATTTCGCCGTGTCACGACGCGCGGCGACGACGACTTCGCCGTGTGCGCGGACGATTTCGGAAGCGTCGTGAGTGCATCTGAATGCAGGCAATAATGGGAAGTGACGAATTAAGGATAAGAGCAGTGCTAATGACACAGCAAAGCAGCAAGAACGACGAGCCGTAGGGACGAGAAACGCGATTGTGGAGATTCAGCGGAGCAACACGAAAGGCAGTCGTAAAAACGTGTCAATCATCGTGAGTCGTACCGAGTCATTTGCGGATATCGTTATGACGAGCCAGTGGCCAGTGGCCGGCAGACGGACGAAGCAAGAAGAGGTGTTCGCATGAACAGGAATTGCGTCGCCGCGACGGGAGCATCTGGCGAGCCCGAATCGGAAAGAACAGGTGCAAATCGGGAACGGATCATCTGAGATGTTATGAGTTGTATGAAAGAAGGGTGCGCAGTATTCAACAACGCGGAAGTGATTACAATTACTCAACAAACAACGAGGCCTAGGCATAATATAGCAAAGCTAGCTAGGCCGAGGTCGCGGAGTCGCGCGAAGGTTGGGTGCAGGGGTTGGAAACCCCGAAGGCGACGCGAAGGACGTTCGGAAGGCGAGGTCAGCGGACCGAGCCTGAACTCCGAAAAGTTGGAATTGTACGCGTACGGAGTGCCTCAGTAAGGAATTAGGAACATTCCTTACACTACCCCCCCCCCCCCTTTAAGAAAGGTGGTCAATATCGGGCACGCGTCGGCGGGAAAGATAATCCCGAAGCACCGAGTGGCCCTATAGTGAGTCAGCCGGGTCGGGCCAGTAGTAATTCCGCTGCAGCAGTTTTAACGTTTTGTCGACGCCGAAGTGCCCGGAGAGGTTAGAGTCGTGAACGTCCTGCGTCAGCAATTCTCGTAGGGGTCGGTAGGAGGAAACCCAAACTCGGTTAGTACCGACTTTTAGGTAATAGCTCCCGTGTGCCGTGGTGGCCCTTTGTTGTTGATTTGCCCTGAAAAACCGATCAGTCCTGTAGCCGTGCTTGAATAATCTTGCTAATAAAGGGTTAGAATGGGCGATTAGTACGGCTGCGGTCTGCATTGTTGGGCGGATCAGGGCGTCGGCGATGTTGTTGGCGCCCTTCTTGTACGTGATGGTGTAGGTGAAGTTTGACTCGAGGTAATCGAGCCACCGGATTTGTCGCGGGTTGAGCTGTGGTTGGCTGCGCATGTACTGTAATGACTTGTGGTCTGTCCTGATCGTGACGTCGGCTCCCGTGAGGTAACACCGCCAGGTACGAAATGCATGCACAATGGCGAGCATTTCTTTGTCGTGTACAGGGTAGTTGCGCTCGGGTGGCTGCATTTTCCGTGACTCGTACGCGATGGGTTGCAGCCAGTTGCCGAAATCCTGTAGAAGGACGGCGCCGACAGCGAGATCGCTGGCGTCCGTCACAACTTCGAACGGTCGAGATGGGTCTGCCAGCCGAAGCACCGGGGGTGAACTCAATTTTTTCTTCAGCTCCTCGAAGGCCAGCTCTTCTCTCTCCCCCCAACAAAATTGCACGCCCTTGTGCAGAAGATCGGTTAACGGCCTGGTTACCCCCGCCATATTCGGTACAAAACGACGGACGTAGTTAACGAAGCCGAGGAAACTCTGCAACTCCGTGATATTCGTGGGCGGCTTCCACTCCGAAATTGCCGTCACTTTGCGAGGGTCAATTTTAATGCCCTCCCCTGACACTACGTGCCCTAGGAACTCCAGCTCCGGCTGTAAGAACTCACACTTAGAGCCCTTCGTAATCAGTCGGTTCTACTGCAAGCGCCGGAACACCTCCTCTAAATCCCGAAAATGCTGCTCCCGAGTCTTGCTGTACACTAGGATGTCGTCCAGGTAAACAATGACTTTTTTGTCCAGCATGTCCCGAAACACCCCATTCATGGTGAGCTGGAAGGTCGAGGGCGCGTTCGTCAATCCAAACGGCATCACTGTGTACTCGTAACTGCCATAGCGGGTTCGAAACGCAGTATTTGGGCAGTCGTCGGCGAACACGCGAATTTGATGGTAGCCACATCGCAAATCGATTTTCGAGAAGAAGCGAGCCCCGAGAAGGTGATCCAGCAGGTCGTCCGCTCGCGGAATCGGGTAACGTGACTTGATGGTGATCCGATTCAACGCTCGATAGTCGATGCACATGCGCAGACCTCCGTCCTATTTCGGCGTGAATAGTATCGGGGCGGCGTAAGGTGACGTGCTCGGCCGGATAAAACCCTTAGAGAGCAGATAATCCAGCTGTTTTCACAACTCGTCGAGCTCCGGTTGGCTGAGCCGCCACTGTGACCGAACGGTTGGTTTTGTGCCCGGCTCCAGCTCGATCCTGTGGTCTTCTGGTCGCTGAGATGGCAGCCCGTCAGGTAGGTCATCCGCGAAAATTTCGGGATACCTCCAAATTATGCTCGCCACGTCCCCTGGTACAGCAGCGCAGAGCGTCTCAATGTCGGCGATTTTCTCGGACGCAACCACCTCGTACAGCTGTACGGCGTAGCCTTGCGCTCCCCGTTTTATCGCCCGCTTAAGCGTTATAGCGTGGACACGTGTTGTCATCGACTCCGGTTCCGCCCATTTTGGAAGAGTCACGCGCCCCTTGTTGCACAGCACCGAGATTGCCCCCGTCGTCCAGTCGATCGTAGGATTGAATCGCTGCAGCCAATCTCGTCCCAGCAGCACTTCGCAACCGTCCACCGTTGTCGCCAGCATTCGCATTGAAAACCCGAAATCGTCGCCCCACTTCATCCGAATTTGTCGCACCTCGTCCTTGATCGCCAGCACGTATTGCAGGTCGAATTTGTAATGCAGGTACCATGTACGAGCGCAGGTATTTCATTACAGGCGCGCATACCGACCACACTGACCAGCGCATTACTTATGTTTGTAGAGATGCACTTAGTACCAAATTCTTGACAGACCACTAGATTAGGCCTTCTACTTCAACAACACTTGGTTATAACCTTTCCGATCCACATGATTTGGGAGATTTCACAGTTACAGCTCCGCCTTGTACCTGCACACAAACGCGCATTCTGATCGAACCGGCCAACGCATTATTCTCTCTGTACAAATACAGTGAATACCATGTGTATTCCTATTTCCTTTTTAATTATACAATTCTCCACCCCCCTAACATGTGTTGAACTATTGGATCTATGTAATCTGACGGATATAGGCATTGCAGTCGTACATGATACCTGCACTACAGGCGCGCTTACCGAAAAGACTGACCAGCGCATTACTTATGTTTGTAGAGATGCAGTTAGTGCCATATTTTTGCCAGTCCACTAGATTAGGCCTTCTACTTCAACAACACCAGGTTATAACCTTTCTGACCCATATGGTTTGGGAGATTTCAGAGTTCCAACTCCGCCTTGTACCTCCACACAAGCGTGCATACTGACCTTACCGGCAGACGCATTATTCTCTCTGTACAAATACAACGAATACCATATGTATTCCCATTTCCTTTATATTATACCATTCCCCACCCCCCTACCATGTTTTAACCTATCAAATCTATGGAATTTGACATATATAGACATTCCACTCGTACATGGCACCTGCACTACAGGCGCACATACCGACCAAACTAACCAGCGCATTACTTATGTTTGGAGAGATGCAATTAGTACCATATTCTTGCCAATCCACTAAATTAGACCTTCTACTTCAACAACACTAGGTTGTGACCTTTCCGATTCACATAGTTTGGGAGATTTCAGAGTTCCAGCTCCGCCTTGTACCTACACACAAGCGTGCATACTGAACTTACGGGCCGACGCATTATTCTTTCTGTACAAAGACAACGAATACCATACACTGAACGAAATAATTGTCCATATGCTCATGTTTCAAGACATGAACGGGCATTAGTGGCCATGGTGATTAAGCCTTAATAACTGGACCACATGAGGTCAAAGACTGAAGGGTTGTACATCTAAACACGCTGCATGTTGGCCATAAACTCGGTTAAACAAGCAGCGAATATAGAAATAGGCAAATACTAGCATAAGGACAGTTTTTTACAATTACAGTCACACATGCAAGGCAAGCAGAATCTAGTACTTGGTCCAGCGACCCTTGGCCTTGAGCACAGCCCGCACACGCCTAGGCATGCTGTCGATCAGCTCACTGCACCAAGCCGCAGGGATTTTCTCCCATTCCACTTGTACTCTGTCCCATAGCTCGAGAATGCCTGCAGGGGGGTGGGGGTAAGCAAGCAGCTGCTTCTTCAAGTAACCCCACAGATGTTCTATGGGGTTGAGGTCCGGACTAGATGCTGGCCATGGGAGCACAGAGTACGGCTGCTCGGCAAGGTAAGTTTTGACCATCTTGCATGTATGCTTCGGGTCATTGTCATGCTGGAACACAACAGTCTCGGGATCAAACTCGTAATGCTCAATAGTCTGCTGCAGCTCATCCTGCAGGATTGAACGGTACAACTCGCCGTTCATTCTTCCCTCTATCTTGCACATGAAACCCGCGCCGTTGTATGTCATGCACCCCCAAATCATGATGGAGCCGCCGCCATGTTTGACGGTCTGTTTCACATGGTGCGGCTCCATGTGACAGTCCTCCCTAATCCAGGCCCAACTACGGCCGTCGCTACTAAACCGGCAGATTTTCGTTTCGTCGCTCCACACCACACATTTCCAGTCGTCGAGCGGGGTGCTGGAAAGCGGGAGAATGGGGCGGGGTGACGGAAAGAGGGAGAATGGGGCGGGGTGACGGAAAGCGGGAGAATGGGGCGGGGTGACGGAAAGCGGGAGAATGGGGCGGGGTGACGGATAGCGGGAGAATGGGGCGGGGTGATGGAAAGCGGGAGAATGGGGCGGGGTGATGGAAAGCGGGAGAATGGGGCGGGGTGATGGAAAGCGGGAGAATGGGGCGGGGTGATGGAAGGAGGGAGAATGGGGCGGGGTGATGGAAAGCGGGGGAATGGGGCGGGGTGATGGACAGCAGGAGAATGAGGCGGGGTGATGGAAAGCGGGAGAATGGGGCAAGGTGATGGAAAGCGGGAGAATGGGGCGGGGTGATGGAAAGCGGGAGAATGGGGTGGGGTGATGGAAAGTGGGAGAATGGGGTGGGGTTATGGAAAGCCGGAGAATGGGGCGGGGTGATGGAAAGCTGGAGAATTGGGCGGGGTGATGGAAAGCGGGAGAATGGGGCAGGGTGATGGAAGGAGGGAGAATGGGGCGGGGTGATGGACGGAGGGAGAATGGGGCGGGGTGATGGAAAGTGGGAGAATGGGGCGGGGAGATGGAAAGCGGGAGAATGGGGCGGGGTGATGGAAAGCAGGAGAATGGGGTGGGGTGATGGAAAGCGGGAGAATGGGGCGGGGTGATGGAAGGAGGGAGAATGGGGCGGGGTGATGGAAGGAGGGAGAATGGGGCGGGGTGCTGGAAAGCGGGAGAATGGGGCGGGGTGACGGAAAGAGGGAGAATGGGGCGGGGTGACGGAAAGCGGGAGAATGGGGCGGGGTGACGGAAAGCGGGAGAATGGGGCGGGGTGACGGATAGCGGGAGAATGGGGCGGGGTGATGGAAAGCGGGAGAATGGGGCGGGGTGATGGAAAGCGGGAGAATGGGGCGGGGTGATGGAAGGAGGGAGAATGGGGCGGGGTGATGGAAAGCGGGGGAATGGGGCGGGGTGATGGAAGGAGGGAGAATGGGGCGGGGTGATGGAAGGAGGGAGAATGGGGCGGGGTGATGGAAAGCGGGAGAATGGGGCGAGGTGACGGAAAGCGGGAGAATGGGGCGGGGTGACGGAAAGCGGGAGAACGGGGCGGGGTGACGGAAAGCGGGAGAACGGGGCGGGGTGACGGAAAGCGGGAAAATGGGGCGGGGTGATGGAAAGCGGGAGAACAGGGCGGGGTGATGGAAAGCGGGAGAATGGGGCGGGGTGATGGAAAGCGGGAGAATTGGGCAGGGTGATGGAAAGCGGGAGAATGGGGCCGGGTGATGGAAAGCGGGAGAATGGGACGGGGTGATGGAAAGCGGGAGAATGGGGCGGGGTGATGGAAAGCAGGAGAATGGGGTGGGGTGATGGAAAGCGGGAGAATGGGGCGGGGTGATGGAAAGCGGGAGAATGGGGCGGGGTGATGGAAGCAGGGAGAATGGGGCGGGATGATGGAAGGAGGGAGAATGGGGCGGGGTGATGGAAAGCGGGAGAATGGGGCGGGGTGATGAAAAGCGGGAGAATGGGGCGGGGTGATGGAAAGCGGGAGAATGGGACGGGGTGATGGAAGGAGGGAGAATGGGGCGGGGTGATGGATGGAGGGAGAATGGGGCGGGGTGATTGAAGGAGGGAGAATAAGGCGGAGTGATGGAAAGGAGGAGAATGGGGCAGGGAGATGGAAAGCGGGACAATGGGGCGGGGTGATGGAAAGCGGGAGAATGGGGCGGAGTGATGGAAGGAGGGAGAATATGGCGGGGTGATGGACGGAGGGAGAATGGGACGGGGTGATGGAAAGCGGGAGAATGGGGCGGGGAGATGGAAAGCGGGAGAATGGGGCGGGGTGATGGAAAGCAGGAGAATGGGGTGGGGTGATGGAAAGCGGGAGAATGGGGCGGGGTGATGGAAGGAGGGAGAATGGGGCGGGGTGATGGAAGGAGGGAGAATGGGGCGGGGTGCTGGAAAGCGGGAGAATGGGGCGGGGTGACGGAAAGAGGGAGAATGGGGCGGGGTGACGGAAAGCGGGAGAATGGGGCGGGGTGACGGAAAGCGGGAGAATGGGGCGGGGTGACGGATAGCGGGAGAATGGGGCGGGGTGATGGAAAGCGGGAGAATGGGGCGGGGTGATGGAAGGAGGGAGAATGGGGCGGGGTGATGGAAAGCGGGGGAATGGGGCGGGGTGATGGAAGGAGGGAGAATGGGGCGGGGTGATGGAAGGAGGGAGAATGGGGCGGGGTGATGGAAAGCGGGAGAATGGGGCGAGGTGACGGAAAGAGGGAGAATGGGGCGGGGTGACGGAAAGCGGGAGAATGGGGCGGGGTGACGGAAAGCAGGAGAACGGGGCGGGGTGACGGAAAGCGGGAGAATGGGGCGGGGTGACGGAAAGCGGGAGAACAGGGCGGGGTGATGGAAAGCGGGAGAATGGGGCGGGGTGATGGAAAGCGGGAGAATGGGGCGGGGTGATGGAAAGCGGGAGAATGGGGCGGGGTGATGGAAGGAGGGAGAATGGGGCGGGGTGATGGAAAGCGGGAGATTGGGGCGGGGTGATGGAAAGCGGGAGAATGGGGCGGGGTGATGGAAAGCGGGAGAATGGGGCGGGGTGATGGAAAGCGGGAGAATGGGGCCGGGTGATGGAAAGCGGGAGAATGGGACGGGGTGATGGAAAGCGGGAGAATGGGGCGGGGTGATGGAAAGCGGGAGAATGGCGCGGGGTTTTGGAAAGCGGGAGAATGGGGCGGGGTGATGGAAAGCAGGAGAATGGGGCGGGGTGATGGAAAGCGGGAGAATGGGCGGGGTGATGGAAAGCGGGCGAATGGGGCGGGGTGATGGAAGCGGGAGAATCGGGTGGGGTGATGGAAAGCTGGAGAATGGGGCGGGGTGATGGAAAGCGGAAGAATGGGGCGGGGTGATGGAAAGCGGGAGAATGGGGCGGGGTGATGGAAAGCGGGAGAATGGGGCGGGGTGATGGAAAGCGGGAGAATGGGGCGGGGTGATGGAAAGCGGGAGAATGGGGCGGGGTGATGGAAGGAGGGAGAATGGGGCGGGGTGATGGACGGAGGGAGAATGGGGCGGGGTGATGGAAAGCGGGAGAATGGGGCGGGGAGATGGGAAGCGGGAGAATGGGGCGGGGTGATAATAAGCAGGAGAATGGGGTGGGGTGATGGAAGGAGGGAGAATGGGGCGGGGTGCTGGAAAGCGGGAGAATGGGGCGGGGTGACGGAAAGGGGGAGAATGGGGCGGGGTGACGGAAAGCGGGAGAATGGGGCGGGGTGACGGAAAGCGGGAGAATGGGGCGGGGTGACGGATAGCGGGAGAATGGGGCGGGGTGATGGAAAGCGGGAGAATGGGGCAGGGTGATGGAAAGCGGGAGAATGGGGCGGGGTGATGGAAAGCGGGGGAATGGGGCGGGGTGATGGAAGGAGGGAGAATGGGGCGGGGTGATGGAAAGCGGGAGAATGGGGCGGGGTGATGGAAAGCGGGAGAATGGGGCGAGGTGACGGAAAGAGGGAGAATGGGGCGGGGTGACAGAAAGCGGGAGAATTGGGCGGGGTGACGGAAAGCGGGAGAACGGGGCGGGGTGACGGAAAGCAGGAGAATGGGGCGGGGTGATGGAAAGCGGGAGAACAGGGCGGGGTGATGGAAAGCGGGAGAATGGGGCGGGGTGATGGAAAGCGGGAGAATGGGGCGGGGTGATGGAAAGCAGGAGAATGGGGCGGGGTGATGGAAGGAGGGAGAATGGGGCGGGGTGATGGAAAGCGGGAGATTGGGGCGGGGTGATGGAAAGCGGGAGAATGGGGCGGGGTGATGGAAAGCGGGAGAATGGGGCGGGGTGATGGAAAGCGGGAGAATGGGGCCGGGTGATGGAAAGCGGGAGAATGGGACGGGGTGATGGAAAGCGGGAGAATGGGGCGGGAAGATGGAAAGCGGGAGAATGGGGCGGGGTTTTGGAAAGCGGGAGAATGGGGCGGGGTGATGGAAAGCGGGAGAATGGGGCGGGGTGATGGAAGGAGGGAGAATGGGGCGGGGTGATGGAAAGCGGGAGAATGGCCGGGGTGACGGAAAGCGGGAGAATGGGGCGGGGTGATGGAAAGCGGGAGAATGGGGTGGGGTGATGGAAAGCTGGAGAATGGGGCGGGGAGATGGAAAGCGGGAGAATGGGGCGGGGAGATGGAAAGCGGGAGAATGGGGCGGGGTGATGGAAAGCGGGAGAATGGGGCCGGGTGATGGAAAGCGGGAGAATGGGGCGGGGTGATGGAAAGCGGGAGAATGGGGCGGGGTGATGGAAAGCGGGAGAATGGGGCGGGGTGATGGAAAGCGGGAGAATGGGGCCGGGTGATGGAAAGCGGGAGAATGGGACGGGGTGATGGAAAGCGGGAGAATGGGGCGGGGTGATGGAAAGCGGGAGAATGGGGCGGGGTTTTGGAAAGCGGGAGAATGGGGCGGGGTGATGGAAAGCGGGAGAATGGGGCAGAGTGATGGAAGGAGGGAGAATGGGGCGGGGTGATGGAAAGCGGGAGAATGGGCAGGGTGATGGAAAGCGGGAGAATGGGGCGGGGTGATGGAAAGCGGGAGAATGGGGCGGGGTGATGGAAAGCGGGAGAATGGGGCGGGGTGATGGAAAGCGGGAGAATGGGGCGGGGTGATGGAAAGCGGGAGAATTTGGCGGGGTTATGGAAAGCGGGAGAATGGGGCGGGGTGATGGAAAGCGGGAGAATGGGGCGGGGTGATGGAAAGCGGGAGAATGGGGCGGGGTGTTGGAAAGAGGGAGAATGGGGCGGGGTGATGGAAGGAGGGAGAATGGGGCGGGGTGATGGAAAGCGGGAGAACGGGGCGGGGTGATGGAAAGCGGGAGAATGGGGTGGGGTGATGGAAAGCGGGAGAACGGGGCGGGGTGATGGAAAGCGGGAGAACGGGGCGGGGTGATGGAAAGCGGGAGAACGGGGCGGGGTGATGGAAAGCGGGAGAACGGGGCGGGGTGATGGAAAGCGGGAGAATGGGCTGGGGTGATGGAAAGCGGGAGAATGGGGCGGGGTGATGGAAAGCGGGAGAATGGGGCGGGGTGATGGAAAGCGGGAGAATGGGGCGGGGTGATGGAAGGAGGGAGAATGGGACGGGATGATGGAAAGCGGGAGAATGGGGCGGGGTGATGGAAAGCGGGAGAATGGGGCGGGGTGATGGAAAGCGGGAGAATGGGGCGGGGTGATGGAAAGCGGGAGAATGGGGCCGGGTGATGGAAAGCGGGAGAATGGGACGGGGTGATGGAAAGCGGGAGAATGGGGCGGGGAGATGGAAAGCGGGAGAATGCGGCGGGGTTTTGGAAAGCGGGAGAATGTGGCGGGGTGATGGAAAGCGGGAGAATGGGGCGGGGTGATGGAAGGAGGGAGAATGGGGCGGGGTGATGGAAAGCGGGAGAATGGGCGGGGTGATGGACAGCGGGAGAATGGGGCGGGGTGATGGAAAGCGGGAGAATGGGGCGGGGTGATGGAAAGCGGGAGAATGGGGCGGGGTGATGGAAAGCGGGAGAATGGGGCGGGGTGATGGAAAGCGGGAGAATGGGGCGGGGTGATGGAAAGTGGGAGAATGTGGTGGGGTTATGGAAAGCCGGAGAATGGGGCGGGGTGATGGAAAGCGGGAGAATGGGGCGGGGTGATGGAAAGCGGGAGAATGGGGTGGGGAGATGGAAGGAGGGAGAATGGGGCGGGGTGATGGATGGAGGGAGAATGGGGCGGGGTGATGGAAAGCGGGAGAATGGGGCGGGGAGATGGAAAGCGGGAGAATGGGGCGGGGTGATGGAAAGCAGGAGAATGGGGCGGGGTGATGGAAAGCGGGAGAATGGGGCGGGGTGATGGAAGGAGGGAGAATGGGGCGGGGTGATGGAAGGAGGGAGAATGGGGCAGGGTGCTGGAAAGCGGGAGAATGGGGCGGGGTGACGGAAAGAGGGAGAATGGGGCGGGGTGATGGAAAGCGGGAGAATGGGGCGGGGTGATGGAAAGCCGGAGAATGGGGCGGGGTGATGGAAAGCTGGAGAATTGGGCGGGGTGATGGAAAGCGGGAGAATGGGGCAGGGTGATGGAAGGAGGGAGAATGGGGCGGGGTGATGGACGGAGGGAGAATGGGGCGGGGTGATGGAAAGTGGGAGAATGGGGCGGGGAGATGGAAAGCGGGAGAATGGGGCGGGGTGATGGAAAGCAGGAGAATGGGGTGGGGTGATGGAAAGCGGGAGAATGGGGCGGGGTGATGGAAGGAGGGAGAATGGGGCGGGGTGATGGAAGGAGGGAGAATGGGGCGGGGTGCTGGAAAGCGGGAGAATGGGGCGGGGTGACGGAAAGAGGGAGAATGGGGCGGGGTGACGGAAAGCGGGAGAATGGGGCAGGGTGACGGATAGCGGGAGAATGGGGCGGGGTGATGGAAAGCGGGAGAATGGGGCAGGGTGATGGAAAGCGGGAGAATGGGGCGGGGTGATGGAAAGCGGGAGAATGGGGCGGGGTGATGGAAGGAGGGAGAATTGGGCGGGGTGATGGAAGGAGGGAGAATGGGGCGGGGTGATGGAAGGAGGGAGAATGGGGCGGGGTGATGGAAAGCGGGAGAATGGGGCGAGGTGACGGAAAGAGGGAGAATGGGGCGGGGTGACGGAAAGCGGGAGAATGGGGCGGGGTGACGGAAAGCGGGAGAACGGGGCGGGGTGACGGAAAGCGGGAGAATGGGGCGGGGTGATGGAAAGCGGGAGAACATGGCGGGTGATGGAAAGCCGGAGAATGGGGCGGGGTGATGGAAAGCGGGAGAATGGGGCGGGGTGATGGAAAGCAGGAGAATGGGGCGGGTTGATGGAAGGAGGGAGAATGTGGCGAGGTGATGGAAAGCGGGAGAATGGGGCGGGGTGATGGAAAGCGGGAGAATGGGGCGGGGTGATGGAAAGCGGGAGAATGAGGCGGGGTGATGGAAAGCGGGAGAATGAGGCGGGGTGATGGAAAGCGGGAGAATGGGGCGGGGTGATGGAAAGCGGGTGAATGGGGCGGGGTGATGGAAAGCGGGAGAATGGGGCGGGGTGATGGAAGGAGGGAGAATGGGGCGGGATGATGGAAGGAGGGAGAATGGGGCGGGGTGATAGAAAGCGTGAGAATGGGGTGGGGTGATGGAAAGCGGGAGAATGGGGCGGGGTAATGGAAAGCGGGAGAACGGGGCGGGGTGATGGAAAGCGGGAGAACGAGGCGGGGTGATGGAAGGAGGGAGAATGAGGCAGGGTGATGGATGGAGGGAGAATGGAGCGGGTTGATGGAAGGAGGGAGAATGGGGCGGAGTGATGGAAAGGAGGGGAATGGGGCAGGGAGATGGAAAGCGGGAGAATGGGGCGGGGTGATGGAAAGCGGGAGAATGGGGCGGGGTGATGGAAAGCGGGAGAATGGGGCGGGGTGATGGAAGGAGGGAGAATGGGGCGGGGTGATGGAAGGAGGGAGAATGGGGCGGGGTGATGGAAAGCGGGAGAATGGGGCGGGGTGATGGAAAGCGGGAGAATGGGGCGGGGTGATGGAAAGCGGGAGAATGGGGAGGGGTGATGGAAAGCGGGAGAATGGGGCGGGGTGATGGAAGGAGGGAGAATGGGGCGGGGTGACGGAAAGCGGGAGAATGGGGCGGGGTGACGGAAAGAGGGAGAATGGGGCGGGGTGACGGAAAGCGGGAGAATGGGGCGGGTGACGAAAAGCGGGAGAATGGGGCGGGGTGACGGAATGCGGGAGAATGGGGCGGGGTGATGGAAAGCGGGAGAATGGGGCGGGGTGATGGAAAGCGGGAGAATGGGGCGGGGTGATGGAAGGCGGGAGAATGGGGCGGGGTGATGGAAGGAGGGAGAATGGGGCGGGTTGATGGAAGGAGGGAGAATGGGGCGGGGTGATGGAAGGAGGGAGAATGGGGCGGGGTGATGGAAGGAGGGAGAATGGGGCAGGGTGAGGGAAGGAGGGAGAATGGGGCGGGGTGACGGAAAGAGGGAGAATGGGGCGGGGTGACGGAAAGCGGGAGAATGGGGCGGGGTGACGGAAAGCGGGAGAATGGGGCGGGGTGACGGAAAGCGGGAGAATGGGGCGGGGTGACGGAAAGCGGGAGAATGGGGCGGGGTGACGGAAAGCGGGAGAATGGGGCGGGGTGACGGAAAGCGGGAGAATGGGGCGGGGTGATGGAAAGCGGGAGAATGGGGCGGGGTGACGGAAAGCGGGAGAATGGGGTGGGGTGATGGAAGGAGGGAGAATGGGGCGGGGTGATGGATGGAGGGAGAATGGGGCGGGGTGATGGAAGGAGGGAGAATGGGGCGGGGTGATGGAAAGCGGGAGAATAGGGCGGGGTGATGAAAAGCGGGAGAATGGGGCAGGGTGATGGAAAGCAGGAGAATGGGGCGGGGTGATGGAAAGCGGGAGAATAAGGCGGGGTGATGGAAAGCGGGGGAATGGGGCGGGGTGATGGAAAGCGGGAGAATGGGGCGGGGTGATGGAAAGCGCGAGAATGGCGCGGGGTGATGGAAAGCGGGAGAATGAGGCGGGGTGATGGAAAGCGAGAGAATGGGGCGGGGTGATGGAAGGAGGGAGAATGGGGCGGGGTGATGGAAAGTGGGAGAATGGGGCGGGGTGATGGAAAGCGGGAGAATGGGGCGGGGTGATGGAAGGAGGGAGAATGGGGCGGGGTGATGGAACGCGGGAGAATGGGGCGAGGTGATGGAAAGCGGGAGAATGGGGCGGGGTGACGGAAAGCGGGAGAATGGGGCGGGGCGACGGAAAGCGGGAGAATGGGGCGGGGTGATGGAAGGCGGGAGAATGGGGTGGGGTGATGGAAAGCGGGTGAATGGGGCGGGGTGATGGAAAGCGGGAAAATGGGGCGGGGTGATGGAAGGAGGGAGAATGGGGCGGGGTGATGGAAAGCGGGAGAATGGGGCGGGGTGATGGAAGGAGGGAGAATGGGGCGGGGTGATGGAAAGCGGGAGAATGGGGCGGGGTGATGGAAAGCGGGAGAATGGGGCGGGGTGATGGAAGGAGGAAGAATGGGGCGGGGTGATGGAAAACGGGAGAATGGGGCGGGGTGATGGAAAGCGGGAGAATGGGGAGGGGTGATGGAAAGCGGGAGAATGGGGCGGGGTGATGGAAAGCGGGAGAATGGGGCGGGGTGATGGAAGGAGGGAGAATGGGGCAAGGTGATGGAAAGCGGGAGAATGAGGCGGGGTGATGGAAAGCGGGAGAATGGGGCGGGGTGATGGAAAGCGGGAGAATGGGGCGGGGTGATGGAAAGCGGGAGAATGGGGCGGGGTGATGGAAAGCGGGTGAATGGGGCGGGGTGATGGAAGGAGGGAGAATGGGGCGAGGTGATGGAAAGCGGGAGAATGGGGCGGGGTGATGGAAAGCGGGAGAATGGGGCGGGGTGATGGAAAGCGGGAGAATGGGGTGGGGTGATGGAAGGAGGGAGAATAGGGAGGGGTGATGGATGGAGGGAGAATGGGGCGGGGTGATGGAAGGAGGGAGAATGGGGCGGGGTGATGGAAAGCGGGAGAATGGGGCGGGGTGATGAAAAGCGGGAGAATGGGGCAGGGTGATGGAAAGCAGGAGAATGGGGCGGGGTGATGGAAAGCGGGAGAATAAGGCGGGGTGATGGAAAGCGGGGGAATGGGGCGGGGTGATGGAAAGCGGGAGAATGGGGCGGGGTGATGGAAAGCGCGAGAATGGCGCGGGGTGATGGAAAGCGGGAGAATGAGGCGGGGTGATGGAAAGCGAGAGAATGGGGCGGGGTGATGGAAGGAGGGAGAATGGGGCGGGGTGATGGAAAGTGGGAGAATGGGGCGGGGTGATGGAAAGCGGGAGAATGGGGCGGGGTGATGGAAGGAGGGAAAATGGGGCGGGGTGATGGAACGCGGGAGAATGGGGCGAGGTGATGGAAAGCGGGAGAATGGGGCGGGGTGACGGAAAGCGGGAGAATGGGGCAGGGCGACGGAAAGCGGGAGAATGGGGCGGGGTGATGGAAGGCGGGAGAATGGGGCGGGGTGATGGAAAGCGGGTGAATGGGGAGGGGTGACGGAAAGCGGGAGAATGGGGCGGGTTGACGGAAAGGGGGAGAATGGGGCGGGGTGACGGAAAGCGGAAGAATGGGGCGGGGTGACGGAAAGCGGGAGAATGGGGCGGGGTGATGTAAAGCGGGAGAATGGGGCGGGGTGATGGAAAGCGGGAGAATGGGGCGGGGTGATGGAAAGCGGGAGAGTGGGGTGGGGTGATGGAAAGGGGGAGAATGGGGCGGGGTGATGGAAGGAGGGAGAATGGGGCGGGGTGATGGAAGGAGGGAGAATGGGGCGGGGTGATGGAAAGCGGGGGAATGGGGCGGGGTGATGGAAAGCGGGAGAATGGGGCAGGGTGATGGAAGGAGGGAGAATGGGGCGGGGTGATGGAAAGCGGGAGAATGGGGCGGGGTGATGGAAAGTGGGAGAATAAGGCGGGGTGATGGAAAGCGGGAAAATGGGGCGGGGTGATGGAAAGCGGGAGAATGGGGCGGGGTGATGGAAAGCGGGAGAATGGGGCGGGGTGATGGAAGGAGGGAGAATGGGGCGGGGTGATGGAAAGCGGGAGAATGGAGCGGGGTGATGGAAAGCGGGAGAATGGGGCGGGGTGATGGAAGGAGGAAGAATGGGGCGGGGTGATGGAAAACGGGAGAATGGGGCGGGGTGATGGAAAGCGGGAGAATGGGGAGGGGTGATGGAAAGCGGGAGAATGGGGCGGGGTGATGGAAAGCGGGAGAATGGGGCGGGGTGATGGAAGGAGGGAAAATGGGGCAAGGTGATGGAAAGCGGGAGAATGGGGCGGGGTGATGGAAAGCGGGAGAATGGGGCGGGGTGATGGAAGGAGGGAGAATGGGGCGGGGTGATGGAACGCGGGAGAATGGGGCGAGGTGATGGAAAGCGGGAGAATGGGGCGGGGTGACGGAAAGCGGGAGAATGGGGCGGGGTGATGGAAAGCGGGAGAATGGGGCGGGGTGATGGAAAGCGGGAGAATGGGGCGGGGTGATGGAAGGAGGGAGAATGGGGCGGAGTGATGGAAAGGAGGGGAATGGGGCAGGGAGATGGAAAGCGGGAGAATGGGGCGGGGTGATGGAAAGCGGGAGAATGGGGCGGGGTGATGGAAAGCGGGAGAATGGGGAGGGGTGATGGAAAGCGGGAGAATGGGGCGGGGTGATGGAAGGAGGGAGAATGGGGCGGGGTGATGGAAGGAGGGAGAATGGGGCGGGGTGATGGAAAGCGGGAGAATGGGGCGGGGTGACGGAAAGAGGGAGAATGGGGCGGGGTGACGGAAAGCGGGAGAATGGGGCGGGTGACGAAAAGCGGGAGAATGGGGCGGGGTGACAGAATGCGGGAGAATGGGGCGGGGTGATGGAAAGCGGGAGAATGGGGCGGGGTGATGGAAAGCGGGAGAATGGGGCGGGGTGATGGAAGGCGGGAGAATGGGGCGGGGTGATGGAAGGAGGGAGAATGGGGCGGGGTGATGGAAAGCGGGGGAATGGGGCGGGGTGATGGAAAGCGGGAGAATGGGGCAGGGTGATGGAAGGAGGGAGAATGGGGCGGGGTGATGGAAAGCGGGAGAATGGGGCGGGGTGATGGAAAGTGGGAGAATAAGGCGGGGTGATGGAAAGCGGGAAAATGGGGCGGGGTGATGGAAAGCGGGAGAATGGGGCGGGGTGATGGAAAGCGGGAGAATGGGGCGGGGTGATGGAAGGAGGGAGAATGGGGCGGGGTGATGGAAAGCGGGAGAATGGAGCGGGGTGATGGAAAGCGGGAGAATGGGGCGGGGTGATGGAAGGAGGAAGAATGGGGCGGGGTGATGGAAAACGGGAGAATGGGGCGGGGTGATGGAAAGCGGGAGAATGGGGAGGGGTGATGGAAAGCGGGAGAATGGGGCGGGGTGATGGAAAGCGGGAGAATGGGGCGGGGTGATGGAAGGAGGGAAAATGGGGCAAGGTGATGGAAAGCGGGAGAATGGGGCGGGGTGATGGAAAGCGGGAGAATGGGGCGGGGTGATGGAAGGAGGGAGAATGGGGCGGGGTGATGGAACGCGGGAGAATGGGGCGAGGTGATGGAAAGCGGGAGAATGGGGCGGGGTGACGGAAAGCGGGAGAATGGGGCGGGGTGATGGAAAGCGGGAGAATGGGGCGGGGTGATGGAAAGCGGGAGAATGGGGCGGGGTGATGGAAGGAGGGAGAATGGGGCGGAGTGATGGAAAGGAGGGGAATGGGGCAGGGAGATGGAAAGCGGGAGAATGGGGCGGGGTGATGGAAAGCGGGAGAATGGGGCGGGGTGATGGAAAGCGGGAGAATGGGGAGGGGTGATGGAAAGCGGGAGAATGGGGCGGGGTGATGGAAGGAGGGAGAATGGGGCGGGGTGATGGAAGGAGGGAGAATGGGGCGGGGTGATGGAAAGCGGGAGAATGGGGCGGGGTGACGGAAAGAGGGAGAATGGGGCGGGGTGACGGAAAGCGGGAGAATGGGGCGGGTGACGAAAAGCGGGAGAATGGGGCGGGGTGACGGAATGCGGGAGAATGGGGCGGGGTGATGGAAAGCGGGAGAATGGGGCGGGGTGATGGAAAGCGGGAGAATGGGGCGGGGTGATGGAAGGCGGGAGAATGGGGCGGGGTGATGGAAGGAGGGAGAATGGGGCGGGTTGATGGAAGGAGGGAGAATGGGGCGGGGTGATGGAAGGAGGGAGAATGGGGCGGGGTGATGGAAAGTGGGAGAATGGGGCGGGGTGATGGAAAGCGGGAGAAAGGGGCGGGGTGATGGAAGGAGGGAGAATGGGGCGGGGTGATGGAATGCGGGAGAATGGGGCGAGGTGATGGAAAGCGGGAGAATGGGGCGGGGTGACGGAAAGCGGGAGAATGGGGCAGGGCGACGGAAAGCGGGAGAATGGGGCGGGGTGATGGAAGGCGGGAGAATGGGGCGGGGTGATGGAAAGCGGGAGAATGGCGTCTTTGCCACGGCTGACATTGAGGCACTGACCCTAGTGAAGTCCGATCTGCAGAAGAGACATACCTGCACTGACCTGGGTGAACTGCGCAGCTACCTTGGCCTGCAGATCACCCGGGACAGAGCACGGCGCACCATCACACTGACTCAGTCACACATGGTGCACCAGGTCCTTCAGCGCTTCGGCTTCCAGTACTCCTCGCCACAACTCACTCCTCTGTCTACCAGCCACTCGCTCTCAGCTCCACCTTCGGACGAGTCCGTAGAGTTGAGTGGTCCGTACCCAGAGCTTGTGAGTTGCCTCATGTACCTGATGACTTGCACTCGACTTGACCTCGCGTACCCTCTCAGCCTTCTAGCTCGCTACGTGGCTCCCGGTAGGCACCGAAAGGTGCACTGGGATGCTGCGAAGAGGGTACTGTGTTACCTGTGCAGTACGTCGGGCATGGGGCTTGTGCTTGGAGGACGGGGTCCTGTTGTCCTCACTGGTCACGCAGACGCCTCCTGGGTTGACGACTCAGCTACGCAGCGGTCGTCGCAGGGTTACACCTTGTCGTCGCAGGGTTACACCTTCAGCCTTGGGTCCGGCTCGGTTTCTTGGCGGTCTACCCGCTCGTCTTCAGTTCTCAGCTCCAGCTGTGAGGCTGAGATCTACGCCGGAGCCATGGCTGCTCAGGAGCTACGCTGGCTCACCTACTTGCTGACCGACTTGGGAGAGCAGCCTTGTTCGCCTCCAGTCCTGTACGTAGACAACAAGGCCATGATAGCCTTGTGTCAGGAGCACAGACTGGAGCACAGAACGAAGCACATCGCTCTGCGATACTTCCTTGCTCGAGAGTTGCAGCAGCGTGGTCAGCTTCGTCTAGCGTACGTGGCCATTCGGGCCAACACTGCTGATGTCTTCACCAAGGCACTTCCGCCTGGTGACCATCAGCGCTTTGTTACTGTGTTAGGCCTTGTGCCTACGTTGCCTCACTTACTTACTGCCTGAGTCTGCCTGTACTGTGATCTATCTATATACCTGCATGCTTGCACTTGTTAGGGTATGATCACTGTATTGTTTGTTCTCTTTATATAACTCTGCATGTGAACTGGCCTTGTGGCCCTTTGCTTGTGCTCGGACTGTGTGGTGACTTTGTGATCCACCCTGAGCTTGCTTTGCTTTGCTTCTTCTCTTGACTGGTCTTGTGACCATTGCTTGTTCTGGCTATCCCCCACTTCGCCTATGGGGGTGTGTCAAACATATATGCTTAGTTATATCTAGGCTTAGTTTATGTGTTTATAGTTGTCTAGGCTATAGTGGGTTTAGCCTTAGGGGGTACAAATTTCTCTCGACATTCTACTTGTACCCACACATACAAATGTAATTTGACAGTATGTGAAAACAAGATAAGTTAATAATACCAAAGAGATACAAGGCTTTATATGATTACAAAGGAATATGAAAGGTTTCACTAACTGTAACTGCTGTTGCGGTTCGATACTACGACGACTCGGGTAACTGCTCAATAGTGAATCAGTTATGTGTCCTTGCTGTCGCGCTGCTTTTCGGCGAGTCAAGGTCGCTGACCTTTTACCTTCACTCAACCTCTTGTTGTTGTCTTTCTGTCAACCGCTTTGGTTGACTCGCTAATGCTTAGATGGAAAGCGGGAGAATGGGGCGGGGTGATGGAAAGCGGGAGACTGGGGCGGGGTGATGGAAGGAGGGAGAATGGGGCGGGGTGATGGAAGAAGGGAGAATGGGGCGGGGTGATGGAAAGCGGGAGAATAGGGCGGGGTGATGGGAAGCGGGAGAATGGGGGGGGTGATGGAAAGCGGGAGAATGGGGCGGGGTGATGGAAAGCGGGAGAATGGGGCGGGGTGATGGAAAGCAGGAGAATGGGGCGGGGTGATGGAAGGAGGGAGAATGGGGCGGGGTGATGGAAAGCGGGAGATTGGGGCGGGGTGATGGAAATCGGGAGAATGTGGCGGGGTGATGGAAAGCAGGAGAATGGGGCGGGGTGATGGAAAGCGGGAGAATGGGGCCGGGTGATGGAAAGCGGGAGAATGGGACGGGGTGATGGAAAGCGGGAGAATGGGGCGGGGTGATGGAAAGCGGGAGAATGGGGCGGGGTGACGGAATGCGGGAGAATGGGGCGGGGTGACGGAAAGCGGGAGAATGGGGCGGGGTGACGGAAAGCGGGAGAATGGGGCGGGGTGACGGAAAGCGGGATAATGGGGCGGGGTGATGGAAAGCGGGAGAATGGGGCGGGGTGATGGAAAGCGGGAGAATGGGGCGGGGTGATGGAAAGCGGGAGAATGGGGCGGGGTGATGGAAAGCGGGGGAATGGGGCGGGGTGATGGAAAGCGGGGGAATGGGGCAGATGGAAAGCGGGGGAATGGGGCAGGGTGATGGAAAGCGAGGGAATGGGGCAGGGTGATGGAAAGCAGGGGAATGGGGCAGGGTGATGGAAAGCGGGAGAATGGGGCGGGGTGATGGAAAGCGGGAGAATGGGGCGGGGTGATGGAAAGCGGGAGAATGGGGCGGGGTGATGGAAAGCGGGAGAATGGGGCGGGGTGATGGAAAGCGGGAGAATGGGGCGGGGTGATGGAAAGCGGGAGAATGGGGCGGGGTGATGGAAAGCGGGAGACTGGGGCGGGGTGATGGAAGGAGGGAGAATGGGGCGGGGTGATGGAAGAAGGGAGAATGGGGCGGGGTGATGGAAAGCGGGAGAATGGGGCGGGGTGATGGGAAGCGGGAGAATGGGGCGGGGTGATGGAAAGCGGGAGAATGGGGCGGGGTGATGGAAAGCGGGAGAATGGGGCGGGGTGATGGAAAGCGGGACATTGGGGCGGGGTGATGGAAAGCGGGAGAATGGGGCGGGGTGATGGAAAGCGGTAGAATGGGGCGGGGTGATGGAAAGAGGGAAAATGGGGCGGGGTGATGAAAAGCGGGAGAATGGGGCGGGGTGATGGAAAGCGGGAGAATGGGGCGAGGTGATGGAAAGTGGGAGAATGGGGCGGGGTGATGGAAAGCGGGAGAATGGGGCGGGGTGATGGAAAGCGGGAGAATGGGGCGGGGTGATGGAAAGCGGGAGACTGGGGCGGGGTGATGGAAGGAGGGAGAATGGGGCGGGGTGATGGAAGAAGGGAGAATGGGGCGGGGTGATGGAAAGCGGGAGAATAGGGCGGGGTGATGGGAAGCGGGAGAATGGGGCGGGGTGATGGAAAGCGGGAGAATGGGGCGGGGTGATGGAAAGCGGGAGAATGGGGCGGGGTGATGGAAAGCGGGACATTGGGGTGGGGTGATGGAAAGCGGGAGAATGGGGCGGGGTGATGGAAAGCGGTAGAATGGGGCGGGGTGATGGAAAGAGGGAAAATGGGGCGGGGTGATGAAAAGCGGGAGAATGGGGCGGGGTGATGGAAAGCGGGAGAATGGGGCGAGGTGATGGAAAGCGGGAGAATGGGGCGGGGTGATGGAAAGCTGGAGAATGTGACGGGGTGATGGAAAGCGGGAGAATGGGGCGGGGTGATGGAAGGAGGGAGAATGGGGCGGGGTGATGGAAGGAGGGAGAATGGGGCGGGGTGATGGAAAGCGGGAGAATGGGGCGGGGTGATGGAAGGAGGGAGAATGGGGCGGGTTGATGGAAGGAGGGAGAATGGGGCAGGGTGATGGAAAGCGGGAGAATGGGGAGGGGTGATGGAAAGCGGGAGAATGGGGCGGGGTGATGGAAGGAGGGAGAATGGGGCGGGGTGATGGAAGGAGGGAGAATGGGGCGGGTTGATGGAAAGCGGGAGAATGGGGCGGGGTGATGGAAAGCGGGAGAATGGGGAGGGGTGATTGAAAGCGGGAGAATGGGGAGGGGTGATGGAAAGAGGGAGAATGGGGCGGGTTGATGGAAAGCGGGAGAATGGGGCGGGGTGATGGAAAGCGGTAGAATGGGGCGGGGTGATGGAAAGAGGGAAAATGGGGCGGGGTGATGAAAAGCGGGAGAATGGGGCGGGGTGATGGAAAGCGGGAGAATGGGGCGAGGTGATGGAAAGCGGGAGAATGGGGCGGGGTGATGGAAAGCTGGAGAATGTGACGGGGTGATGGAAAGTGGGAGAATGGGGCGGGGTGATGGAAGGAGGGAGAATGGGGCGGGGTGATGGAAGGAGGGAGAATGGGGCGGGGTGATGGAAAGCGGGAGAATGGGGCGGGGTGATGGAAGGAGGGAGAATGGGGCGGGTTGATGGAAGGAGGGAGAATGGGGCAGGGTGATGGAAAGCGGGAGAATGGGGAGGGGTGATGGAAAGCGGGAGAATGGGGCGGGGTGATGGAAGGAGGGAGAATGGGGCGGGGTGATGGAAGGAGGGAGAATGGGGCGGGTTGATGGAAAGCGGGAGAATGGGGCGGGGTGATGGAAAGCGGGAGAATGGGGAGGGGTGATTGAAAGCGGGAGAATGGGGAGGGGTGATGGAAAGAGGGAGAATGGGGCGGGTTGATGGAAAGCGGGAGAATGGGGCGGGGTGATGGAAAGCGGGAGAATGGGGCGGGGTGATGGAAAGCGGGAGAATGGGGCGCGCTGATGGAAAGCGGGAGAATGGGGCGGGGGAAGGAGGGAGAATAGGGCGGGGTGATGGAAAGCGGGAGAATGGGGCGGGGTGATGGAAAGCGGGAGAATGGGGCGGTGTGATGGAAAGCAGGAGAATGGGGCGGGGTGATGGAAAGCGGGAGAATGGGGCGGGGTGATGGAAAGCGGGAGAATGGGGCGAGGTGATGGAAAGCAGGAGAATGGGGCGGGGTGATGGAAAGCTGGAGAATGGGGCGGGGTGATGGAAAGCGGGAGAATGGGGTGGGGTGATGGAAGGAGGGAGAATGGGGCGGGGTGATGGAAAGCGGGAGAATGGGGCGGGGTGATGGAAAGCGGGAGAATGGGGCGGGGTGATGGAAAGCGGGAGAATGGGGTGGGGTGGACGTACATGGTACCTGCACTACTGACGCGCATACTGACCAAACTGACCAGCGCATTACGCATGTTTGTAGAGAAAGTGCCATATTCTTGCCAGTCCACTAGATTAGGCCTTTTACTTCAACAACACTTGGTTATAACCTTTCCGATCTACATAATTTGGGAGATTTCAGAGTTCCATTTCCGCCATGTACCTACACACAAGCGTGCATACTGACCTTACCGGCCGACGCATTATTCTCTTTGTACAAATACAATAAATACAATATGTATTTCCATTACCTTTAAAGTATACCATTACCCACCCCCCTATCATATATTAACCTATCCGATCTATGAAATTTGGCAGATATAGACATTCCAGTCGTACGTGGTACCTGCATTACAGGCGCGCATACTGACCAAACTGACCAGCGCGTTACGTATGTTTGTAGAGGTGCAGTTAGTGCCATATTCTTGCCAGTCCACTAGATTAGGCCTTCTACTTTAACAACACTAGGTTATATCCTTTCTGATGCACATAGTTTGAGAGATTTCGAAGTTCCAGCTCCGCCTTGTACCTACACACAAGCGTGCATACTGACCTTACCGGCCGACGCATTATTCTCTCATTGTATTCCCATTTCATTTCATTTACATCATTCCCCACCCCTCTACCATGTCTTAACCTATCGGATCCATGTAATTTGGCAGATATAGACATTCCAGACGTACATGGTACCTGCACTACAGACGCGTATACTGACCAAATTGACGAGCGCATTACGTATGTTTGTAGAGATGCAGTTAGTGCCATATTCTTACCAGTCCACTAGATTTGGCCTTCTACTTCAACAACACTTGGTTAAAACCTTTCCGATTCACATAGTTTGGGAGATTCCAAAGTTCCAGCTCCGCCTTGTACCTACACACAAGCGTGCATACTGAGCTTACCGGCCGACGCATTGTTCTCTCAGTGCAAACATAGTGTATACCATATGTATTCCCATTTCCTTTAAATCATATCATTCCCCACCACCCTACCATGTTTTAACCTATCGGATCCATGAAATTTGGCAGATATAGACATTCCAGTCGTACATGGTACCTGCACTACAGAAGCGCATACTCACCAAACTGACCAGCGCATTACGTATGTTTGTAGAGATGTAGTTAGTGCCATATTCTTGCCAGTCCACTAGATTAGACCTTCTACTTCAACAACACTTGGTTAAAACCTTTCCGATCCACAAAATTTAAGAGATTTCAGAGTTCAAATTCCGCCTTGTACCTACACGGAAGCGTGCATACTAACCTTACCGGCCGACGCAATATTCTCTGAGTACAAACACTGTGTATACCATATGTATTCCCATTTCCTTTAAATTTTAAACATTCCTCACCCCCCTACCATGTTTTAACCTATCGGATCCATGTTTGGCAGATATAGACATTGTAGTCGTACATGGTACCTGCACTACAGACGCGCATACCGACCAAACTGACCAGCGCATTACGTATGTTTGTAGAGATGCAATTGGTGTCATATTCTTGCCAGTCCATTAGATTAGGCCTTCTACTTCAACAACACTAGGTTATAACCTTTCCGATCCACATAATTTGGGAGATTTCAGAGTTCCAGTTCCGCCTTGTACCTACACACAAGCGTGCATACTGACCTTACCGGCCGACGCATTATTCTCTTTGTACAAATACAGTAAATACCATACGTATTCCCATTACCTTTAAATTATACCATTCCCCACCCCCGTACCATATATTTACCTATCCGATCTATGTAATTTGGCAGATATAGACATTCCAGTCATACATGGTGTGAAATAACGAGGAATGAATTCACTAGGAATGAGGAGGGTACAAGTATGAAACCCTAAGAAAGATGTACCCCATGTTGTCTAACCCACTACAGCCTACATAGGCTATATCATATGAGTCTGACACACCCCCATAGGCAAAGTGGGGGAGAACAAGGGGTCACAAGACCAGTCAAGCAAAGCAAAGCAAGCTCAGGGTGGATCACAACGTCACCACACATTCCGAGCACAAGTTCAAAGGCCAAAAGGCCAGTTCACATGCATGATTATAAATCAAGGTGAACAAGCAAGACAGTGATCGCAACCTAACAAGGGTAAGCATGCAGGTGAAGGTATATATAGATCACAGTACAAACAAAGTCAAGAGGTAAGCAAGTGAGGCCAAGTAGGCACAAGACCTAACATAGTACAGAACCGCTGATGATCACAAGGCTGAAGTGCCTTGGTAAAGATATCAGCAGTGTTGGCCTGAGAGGCCACGTAAGCAAGGCGCAGTTGACCACGCTGCTGCAGCTCACGTGCAAGGAAGTAGCGAAGAGCCATGTGCTTCGTTCTGTGCTCCAGTCTGTGCTCCTGACACAAGGCCAGCATGGCCTTGTTGTCTACGTACAGAACTGGAGGAGAATGAGGCGGCTCTCCCAGGTCGGTCAGCAGGTAGGTGAGCCAGCGTAACTCCTGTGCAGCCATGGCCCCTGCGTAGATCTCGGCCTCACAGCTGGAGCCGAGAACAGAAGACGAGCGGGTAGACCGCCATGAAACAGAGCCGGAACCAAGGCTGAAGGTGTAACCTTGTGACGACCGCTGAGTAGCCAGGTCGTCAGCTCAAGAAGCGTCTGCGTGACCAGTGAGGACCACTGAACGTCGCCCTCCAAGCACGAGCCCCATGCCCGACGTACTGCACAAGTAGCACAACACCCTCTTAGCAGCATCCATGTGCTCCTTCCTGTGTCGGCCAGGAGCAACATAGCGTGCAAGGATGCTAAGAGGGTAGGCTAGGTCAGGTCGAGTGCAGGTCATCAGGTACATGAGGCAGCCCACAAGCTCTGGATACAGGCCACTCGGCTCTACGGACTCATCCGAAGGCAGAGCTGAGAGCGAGTGGCGCGTAGGCAGAGGAGTGGGCTGTGGCGAGGAGTACGTGAAGCGGAAGCGCTGAAGGACCTGCTGCACCATGTGTGACTGAGTCAAGGTAATGGTGCTCTGTGCTCTGTCTTGGGTGATCCGCAAGCCAAGATAGCTTGTCAGTTCACCCAGGTCTGTGCACGTGTGTCTCTTCTGCAGCTCCGACTTCACGTGGGCGAGTGCCTCAGTGTCAGCAGTAGCAAAGACCAGGTCGTCTACGTACACGAGAACGTAGAACGGCAGCAGAGTGGTGTCGGTGCGTAGAAACAGCGACGGGTCAGCAGTAGAAGGAGCAAACCCAAGAGCAGCAAGAGACGTCCTCAGTGTGTCGTGCCACTCACGGGGTGCCTGGCGGAGACCGTAGACCGGCCGCCGGAGGCTCCACTGGGTACCAGGAGGAAACGACCCAGTGAAGCCAGGTGGGCGGCGCAGCCAGATCTCCTCGTGCAGGCTGCCCTGTAGGAAAGCAGTGCTGAAGTCAAGAGAGTGGAGCTCGTAGTCACGCTAAGCGGCGACGTGCAGTAGAACCCGAAGAGTGGTCATCTTCGGGGTAGGGGAGAAGGTCTGGAATAAGTCAACTCCCTCATGCTGACTGAAGCCTCGTGCAACGTAACGCGCCTTGAAGACAGGCGGAGAACCCGGCGGCCGCTTCACCCTGAAAATCCACATGCCACTGACGATGTTCGCCCCAGGTGGGGGAACCTCGTCGACGTAGGTGCCTGTGGACTTCCAGGAAGCCATCTCTGCGTCCATGGCTGACTGCCACTGAGAGGAGTAGGGACCCTCTATCGCCTCTGCGTAAGAGCGCGGGGTCGGGATGTTTGGTGCATCCGGGTCTCCCTCAGGGGCAATCAGCATGGACACGAGATGAGGTAAAGCAGCGGCAAAGCACTCAAACTCCTCCTGCCTGTCCTCAAGGACGTCCGTGCCAAGAGCACACTCACCCCCGACGGACAGAGGACAGACAGACTCAGACTCAGCAACTAGGCTAGCGGCGTAGTCGAGACGACAGTGAGCAGCAAAGTCGACAAGCTCAGCAACAAGAGCCGACGCAGCAGTAGACTCAAAGGCAGGGTCAGTGACAACAGTAGCGAGAAGACGAGTGACAGTAGGACTAGCAGCACGAAGGGAGTCAGACTCCGGGTCAGCAAGAGCAGGAAGAGAGGACGCAGGAGGAGACGGCAGAGGGACATGCTGTGGAGCAGTGGAAGGACGAAGCGCCATCTGGTGTGTGCCTGGGATAGCAGGAGAACGCTGACGCGGAACACGACGACCAGTGCGAGCAGCACGAACAGGCGACGCACGATGAGACTCAGGCGACGCAGGACGAGACTCAGGCTCACGACGCTCCGTAAGACCTCCAGTCGTACCAGTGTAGGGAGAAGGACCAGGGAATGGCGAGGCAGGCTGTAGCTGTGACTGCGACTGGATAGGCAGAGGACACTCTAAAGAAGGAGTGGGACCAGGAGCAGGTGGGAGACCAAGAACCTGCTGAAGGAGCGGAACAAAGTACGGCCGCGGCCGCGCAGCGCCTCCAGAACCAGCAGAGGCAGCTCCAGTACCCTCAGCTCCAGGGTGTCCAGCCACAACTTCCGCAGCACCACCATCCGCTCCAGCAGCTCCAGCACCTACAGCTCCAGCTCCAGCAGCAGCTCCAGTACCTCCAGTACGAGCACCTCCAGGGCCAGCAGCCCTAGCAGCTCCAGCACCAGCAGCACCTCCAGCACCTCCAGCAGCTCCAGCACCAGCAGCACCTCCAGCAGCACCAGCAGTACCTCCAGGAGCTCCAGCAGCACCTCCAGCAGCTCCAGCACCAGCAGCACCTCCAGCAGCTCCAGCACCAGCAGCACCTCCAGCAGCTCCAGCACCAGCTGCACCTCCAGCAGCTCCAGCACCAGTAGCACCTCCAGGAGGAGGCTCCCCAGCTCCAGCAGCACGGCGACAGCGTCGAGCGTACCACTCACGAAGCTGCCGCGGAGAGAGGGGCTCCCGCCGCGGCGGGACACTCGGAGGACCTCCAGTCTCAGCACCCCCAGACTCAGCACCCCCAGGCTCAGCACCCCCAGGCTCCGCACCCCCAGGCTCCGCACCCCCAGACTCAGCACCCCCAGGCTCCGCACGCT